TGGTCTTCCCTCTCTTCAGGAGGTGAATCGGTACAAGGGGAAGAACTATCCAATCATGAACATCCATGAGAGGACGCTGAGTGTCCTGGCCTGTCGGGTGAGTTCACAAACACACACACACACATATGCAAAGCCCTGTTAATGTTCATCACAGCGGGATGTATTTCCAGCCTGAATACCCACAGTGCAGCAGGCCGGACTTGGCTCTGCTCCCTCCATTCCTGCTGGTCAGCTATCAGTCTGGAACAAAGCGTCTCTGTGCCCCCAGCTGCACTCTGTGTGTTTGTGTTCAATTTAAACCAACTTATGAGAACAGAGAACAGTGCACAGAACAAATACGTTACGCAATCCTAACACCGCCACATTCCCGTGCTCTGCCATCAGTTCTACTCAGTGCCAGATGACGCAGTCCCAATTGAAGCAGTGAACTGTAAAAGCACCTTTGCCCCTTGAGCTGTGTCGCATCCACAACACGCTCGTCTGTTTAACTTTGATGCTGAAATGCCCTGACTGGTGTGAGGCAGTGGAATGAAAGAAAACATGACTTTGTTGTTTTGAATCTGTCTCTTTCCTCTCTACAGTACGTCTCGGAGGTGGTGATTGGTGCTCCCTATGCAGTGGGCAAAGATCTGCTGGATCACTTTAGGGTAAAATGCCTTTAAAGATTTTTTTATTTTTTTCAGATTATTTATTTAATCCTCTTTTTTAACCAGGATGGCACCTTTTTATTTAATAAATCAAGAGAGTCTTAGACAGAAGATTGAATATTTTACACAAACGTTAATAAATGTCATTAATTTCTTCTGGCAACAAAGGTAAAAACAAAATGTGTTCCTAAAGTAAAAACACTGTTTTAATAAGTTTTCTGTTATGTATTTAAAAAGGATAGTGTTCCATTGGGGTGTCATCGAAACGTTAGAAGTTACCATACTGCGTAGTCTGTCTGCACTGTTCAATTTTCAGAGGTCAATATTTCAAATTTCAAAACTAACTGAGATCAAAAAACTAGTTACAGCTCATAAAGCTTAGACTTTTTTTAAAGATTTTCAAAAGTCTTGGACAGTGTAGTGCATACAAATAGATCACTATTTTGCTTTATGCTTTTAAAAGGTTCTCCCTAAGATCATTTTGTGTTGATTATATATTAGAAAAAGCCCAGTACTTAACTGTGTGGCGCCCTCTTGTGGACATATTGAATATGAGAAGAAAAACCATCATCTTGAACGCATTAAGATCTGTCAGATACCCTCTAGGTCAGGGTTCTCACATTTTTCAGGCAAAGGATCCCTTCGCTGAAAGAGAGATGGAGCGGACAAACCCCCGCCCATGTAGAAAACGGAGTTGCGTGTTAAACTGGACCATACGTAGGACAGCCTAAAGTGCCATGTATAAACATACCTTTGTATGGTGCATACAATACTAAGCTATTCAAATAAAAATAATAATACAAATATAACTAGCTTGCTGTTATAGATATGTAGCACAAAAGGGATTTAATGCAATTTATCATTTTAAACATTTTAATTCTTTAAAGTCTAATAATAAATAAATAAAAACAATATTTGTCAAAATATTATCAAACAATAATTTGGCGGCCCCCCCTTCAGTAACTGATTTGCTCATTCTGTTACCTAAAGTGCCCCTGACAAGAGTCTACTTGTGAAAATGTGTGACTATAAATAAAAATGATTCACCAGTTCATGTGTAAAGTTTCTTCTCTCTCCAGTTTCCTTCCTCTGCGCATGATATGGGGTTTAACCATACCTGTTTGTGTACCTGTGCAGGTGGACCTGGTGTGTCATGGCAAGACGGAGGTGTTTCCTGACAAGGACACGTCAGACCCCTACGCCGTGAGTACAGGCTCCTGTTGTCTCTGATCAAAGTGCAGCACCCCCTGCCACTGTACTGCATTTATATTTTATATGTGTATATCGTTGAGAATATTTCAAGCTCAAAACATGTCCTGGCTTACAGTCTGATTCACACTGAGGCATGTTTTGCTCATATAAGCATAGGAAATGAACTCCTTACATTCCCTAACAGCAATCCAATTTTCCTAATGTCCAATGTGGCTTTGCCTTTTCAATTGTTTGGTAATGGCAGGCATGTGTCCTCGAAACAGCCCCATGAGGAGCGTTTTCGGATACTGCTATGAGCACTCTATTGCCCTTAACCTAGAATGAATATACATTTTGAAAAATGATCGGAGTCTACCTAATTGGTTAGAATGAGGGTGCGTGTGGCGCAGTGGGTTGTCCGTAGGTGTTTGTATCAGGGAGCCACAGGTTCAAACCCCACTGCAGTCAGCATGTCGTTGTGTCCCTGGGCAAGACACTTCACCCCAAATTGCTCCTGTGGGGATTGTCCAAAGTTTTGAGTATGTAAGTCGCTTTGGATAAAAGCGTCTAACAAGTAACATGTAATGTAATGTCATGATGTGTGTTATTGCTTCATTCAGGTTTTTATTCAGTTAAAGTGTAGGCCTCATTACTCAGGATATTTTTGGGAATATCTGGAGCATGGCCTTTTTTTAGTTATATCACTATGTGTGTTGTGCCCTTAGGAGCCTAAGAAGAGGGGGGTCTTCAGGACAGTCGACAGCGCGAACAATCTCACCACTGATGACATCGTCCAGAGAATAATTGCAAACAGGTCAGTGACTCCTCATTAACTTAACTGGCATCTCCTCATCACCGTTATCTGCGTCCGATTTATCGCTGTAGAGATGATTATGAATCTTTTTGATATTTTCGTTGTCAGGCTGCAGTTTGAAGCCAGGAACCAGAAGAAGGAGGCCAAGGAGATGGCAGTGATCGAGGCGATGAAGAGGAAAGAGCAGGATCAGAGTGAAGGTGCAGCCCAGCCCGCTCACTAGTGGCACCTCAGACCTGCTTCTGTGTGTGGTTCACTCGTCGCGGTACACTCAGCTTTAAGACTCAACTGACCCAGGGAGCACAGCCACTGGGTGAAGAATCCTGCATTAAATATCTGTTGTGGCAGTGCGTCGTGCACGCTGCTGAGTTAGCTCCTCAACCTTCTTCTATTACAGACTTCTCCAGCCTAATGCGATTAAAATAGATCTGCCTCGACAAGAAATCAAAGAATCCAAACTAACCTTCAAAATCTATTTTAACCTCTCGTCCTCCACAGAGAAAGTTTTAATGTTTGTCTTCTTCTGTCATGTTTTGTCTTCGTCCATGAATTCACACACTGTGTTCCTGTAAAGGTGTATAAGTGATATGTTGGGTTTGTAATAAGCCATAACTTAAATGTTTTTAGATTTTAAACCATGTTTGTTTTAAAGATCGGTCTTAGAAGTGGCATCTTTTACATTGAATGTAGTAAAAAAAAATGTATACACTGGGTAAAAAAAGATATATTTAGAAGTCACTATGTTTTTGTCCATACTGAAAAAACATTATTTCAATGTCAAATTATCCGTGGAGCAGTCTTTTTAATTTCAATTGTGGATTTAACTACCTGACTTTGCACCCAGCTAGTGTGTGTGTGTGTGTGTGTGTGTGTGTTTTTATGTTTGAGCGATTGAGTGGAGTGAAGTTAGTGAGTGAGCATTTGCACTGTAACTGACAGTAATGTCGTGCCTCATTCCTAACGGTATAACTAATTTAAGATCTATGAATTGCACCAGAAATGTAAACTCTGTCTCTGACCTTCTCAACTCGAAAAAATGTTCTGCAAATCTATTATGTTTTCTCCTCTTTCACCAGATACTCCAATAACTTTCACATTTGGACCTAGTCTCACTTTCAAACTGCTTCTGTAGAAGTTTACAGTCTTTTGATTTTCCTGTTATTATGGGGCATATTACTCTGAGGTGAATTGTTAAAGGTGCGAGACAATTTGTGTTTTATAAATGTGTCTGTAGGATGTTGGCAGGCTGAGAAATAAATATGTTTCTAAATATCAATCACTAAATTGCAACTTGTAAATGTCCCTTTTAATAAATAAATTGGAAATATTGTCATGTGTGTTTGACTGCAGTAGGGCTGTGCAGCAGCCTGATGACAGAGATCTTTGTTGGATCAGCACATCGTCACAGATCACTGACTCTGTGAAATGAGGACACAGCCGTTCAAAAGCTGCTAAATCCTCCTGTCCCGTCCCGATCACGCTGCTCTCAGACTTGAACAAAAACTGCAAACCCGTCACCTCATTACAAACACAAAGGGCCTTTAATCCCCCGCCCTGAGCAGCGCCCCCGAGGAGCTTCAGCAGGAAGGATCCTATCCCTCAGCCGAGAGACATCCAGATCTCACTATCTCATTTGGTCTAAGCTGTTTTTGTATTGAGGCCTATTGTAGTTAATGGAGTAGCAATTAAAAGTATTTATTTTACACCAAGAAGACCCAATGGTCATTTAGCTTGTCAGACTTCAGAAAGAAAAACATGTAATTATAAATGTATTTTTGTAAGTGCAGTGGCTCTAGAAGACAGGAAGTATTCCCAAAAAAGATACAAAGGATAATAAGGAAATAGTTTCTTACCAAAAATGTGGTTTAATTGTTTTAACTTTTCTCAAATTCATGTTTTTTTTCTCCTGACTTTTTCTCCACACCTCTAAAATCATAGAAAAAATACACAACACCCCTTTTTTGTTGAATAACCAACAACTCATTTCCACCACAGGTAATTTTTATTTCATATAACATCTTCTCAGGACTGTGTTTTGTTGCATGTTCAAACAGGTTCATGCTTATCAGTGTGTTTGGTGACATCACACACTAAATCCCGCCATAAATGCACACCTGTAACCTGAGCAGGTCAACACGTAGGTCATACTGTATATGATAATGTATACATTGAGAATATGTTATGTGTGTGAAAGAAAGTCACTTTTAACTACGAACAATGTTATTTGTTGAATGTTTTCAGTTACTTTCCATACTTTTAGTTAGTTAGTTTTCTCCTCATGCACAGGTGAAGTTGCCCACTCAGCAGTTTTGTCCCGGCACGTCACTTCCCAGGGAAGTCCGAAAAGTTTTCCATCTGTGCGGCGGTGCGGGAGGAGGAGGCTCTCGAGAAACTGGGGTCTCTGCCAAGGCGGTAGGGCAGATTTGAAGCGCAGTGACATGACACAGCGGTGTTTTCACGGCTCAGGACTGAAAAACCTCCCACCCAGAACATTCTGCCACTGACACGGAACTTGGAGCGATGCTTAAAATCACTTTCGTCCGGACGGTTTGAGCCCCAACTCTAGCTTCGAGTTTTGAGGATGTTTCGGAGATGGCCTGAACTTTTCTTCCTTCCCAGAGTTAACAGTCACCCTGCGGTTTACTCGGAGCATGCAGCCTTTAGAAACACACTCCGGTAGCTCGGTTCTGGAATCCCTGCTTTTGTTTTTCCTCTCAGGCCGGGGGAGGAGATGAGTTTCTCAGGATGGGACTGTGCCTCGGTACCGAAGTCACAGAGGATCAGAAGAAGGCGAGGATACTCAGTGCCAAGATAGACAGAGAGCTGTACGAGGGCGCCAAGCGGGAGATGAATGTGGTTAAAATCCTGCTACTAGGTGAGGCTGCACACCCTGATCATAGAACTCACCTGAGACATAAGGTGAAGGGCTGAAACCTGCATTTGGAATCCATCACGGGATATCTTTTCAGTGATTGGCATCATTAAAAAAAATGTTGAAAGTGATACTAAAGTTTAATTATTAATTATGGTTCCTCAGGAGCCACTTTTCTATTTAAACCAATACAGATTCCATGTTTAAAACGGACCACATTTGATTACAAAAAGATAAATGATAGTAAATGCAACTTTATTTGGATTTATCTAAGTAAACACAGTTAACCCATTATTTTCAACCTCCTCCAGGGGCAGCAGAAAGCGGTAAAAGCACTTTGGTGAAACAGATGAAGATCATCCACAGTAATGGATTCACCAAGCAAGAGCTCATCAGCTTCAAGGTTGGAAACACACACACACACACACACACACACACACACACACACACACACACACACACACACACTTAATAGACTGGTCCACTCTCTGTGATGTTGTTTTGTTTATCAGATAACAGTCTATTAGCATACAGTGTGGTTGGTTTCCAGAAGAAGAGCTGGATAAACAATCACATTTGTCTCTTAGCTTTTAAAGGGAAGTAACGATGTCATTATCACATAGCAGAGCGTTGACTTGAGTCAGACTGGATGACAAATCGGATGACTTCAGTCTCAACTTGACAAACCCAAATATGACCTGCAACTCAACTCTAACACCAATAACTTCAGCTTCACATGGAATCGAGCATTTAGACCTGAAAGTACTTGATACCTCCACAGGCCAAAATATATGAAAGGATGTTATTTAATAAGTTTGCCACAAATCAATTCATTGGCAGTACCAAATAACATTGCTTTACTAACTACTAGCAAGTCGACACTTGAAGAACTAAACGTACATTACTGAGAAACGTAGAAGGAGTAGAAATTGCAGAAGGAAGGAGACTCCATCATTTGGTTAGGACTTGAAATCTTAAGTTAAGGACTTGGTAATTTTGGGACTTGAGGGCAAAACTATGACTTGGTCTCACCTCAGCTAACAAGTTCAGTCACCTGACTCCAACAGAGGAAGTGAGGAGGGTGTGTTTTATACTGCAGACACAGCAGCGCTTTATTACAGGTGAAATCAAATCTAAAGATTGAGAAGAACAGGAGATGAGATGATACACGAGGCGATGTTTGCTTCCTGTGTGGGGACGGAGATTACTCTGGATACCCGGGTCAGATCCAAGTTGGTATGCAGTGGTTTGGCTCACATCTGCTCTTCTTTCTGTGTGTGTGAGAGCAACTGGAAGCCAAATTCCTGCGTTGTAGGCCTACTAGGGGCTGGGGTGGGGTGGGGATAATGGAAACACACACACACACACACACACACACACACACACACACACACACACACACACACACACACACAGAAGCTTCACACCATCAGCTTGTTTTTATTGAAGGCTTATCTTTTTCCACATCCCCCTCCTTTAGCCTCACACCATGTTTTACTCTCCCTCTCTTCCCTTTCCTATTTACTATTCTGTATCTTTTTTCCTCTTTTTCTCTCCGAGCCTCTTACTTTCTGTTATACACAAAATTAGTATTTGATGACAGGAAAAGGCCTTTTTTTCTATCGTCAGCAGGCTGTAGATACCGGCACTATAATAACAGCCCTGTCACTGGAATACACTGGCAAGGCTAACATTATAGATATAGATGATGGAGTTTGAACCTTCCAAGGCTTAATTCACTCTGGAGTTCATCCAGAACCAAAATGACTTTATTAAAGGAGACCTATTATGCTATATTTAAATGATATATTGTAGGGCCATACCTATATAAGGTATATTTATATGTTTCTGTTTTCAAAATACCAAACAGATCATGCATTTTAGCCATGCCTCATTTCGCTCTATTAGCTGTTCTCCAGCACTGTTTTTGCACGGGGCTGATTCTGTGAGCTGCAGCTGACCACGCCCCCCTGCAGGAGAGGGGAGCCGTGCTCTGATGAAGTCAGAAGAGGGGGAGAAAAATAGATCTCCGTCCTCTGTGTTTTATTATATTATTATAGGCCTATAGAGTCGTTATTCATTTGTTTTAACCTGTTAAGCCCGAGAGACCCCGGTACCGGGGTACTGCCGCAACATCTTGCAGGAAACAGTGTCTGAGGGCATGTTCATTTAATAAAACTATGAATGTTTTATATCCATGTAACGGGAAGAAACTCATCTAACTGATCATTTCTTTTTTTTTTTTTAAAGAAAACCCACAATGCTAACACTGAGCCTCTGAATTAGCAACGAGCGAAAAATGCTAACACCTTACTGCACCGAAAATCACTCACAAAACCTTATTATTTATCTTTTCACCACATCTAACACATCGATTCACATCGTGAGGTGACACAGAATCGATTGACACCGACATTACCACTGAATTATTCGTATTTGCGACGTTATAAGCAAAAACGGACATCAAAACAGGTGACGCTAGGTAGCTAAAAATGCTAACATTTTTACCTTGGCTCTGTAGTCTCTCCAAAGTGGTCTTCAATGGCATTAAAACGATAAAAATGCTGCTGAAGTTAATCCATAGGTTAATCTAATGTGTTTGTGTCCCTTTGAAATGATTTCTGATAATCCGATTCCATAAGCAATAAACCTGCTTTTCCGTTTCCAGATGTCAAAGCTAGAGACAGGTTCACTCTGATTGAAAATTACATGTGCGAAGCCCCCACCTTTTCTCTTCACAACGTGTGTGTGTGGGGGACCCCCCTTCGATTCTATTGGCTCTAACGGTCAGAAAGAGGTGTCAACCATCAAAATCGAGCAAGTGGGGCCAGAGATATGGAAAATCCACCCAAATGACCCCAGAAGTGGTTTCTTTTTGCTAAATCTCTCTAAAAAGGTCAAATGTCACTTGTTTTGCATCAATCTTGATACAGGGTACTTATTATATATTGTACTTTGGATTCCTAAAGCTTCCTTAGTCTACTAACCCATCATCCAAGGGTGGTTTTCACTATAAGTAAAAAAGAAGTTTTGGACGGACACTATAATTTACAGTTTTTTACTATGTAAAATCTGAATTTTCTTTAAAATAAAAAACATCTATATTGATTCTGACTTTTCTACATCCAACTCACAGGTTTATCATTACTTTGAGAAAAAAGATTATTAATTTAACCCTTTTAGAAGGGAAGATATGGTCATTTGTTCTGGGAATGTCATTTTCGAGCCTGAGACCTGAAAAACAGGCTCAGGGCTTAACAGGTTAAAGCTCAATAAATAACAAAGAAGACCTTTGACCGGCACTTTAACGGACATCTTGACCGGCGAAAGAAACTGAAACTGAAACTCTGCCGCACGGTCCCCTCGTTCCTTGGAAGAGGCGGAGAGGTGGGTGTTTGTCATCTGCTGGTGGACTAACCGGAGAGAATTACAGTGCTTGCCTCGACGGGGAGGGATTGCATTGAATTAAAGCAGCGGGAGCAAACGCTTGCCTCGGGGAGGGAGAAAAAAAGCCACAGCGGAGAATAAACAGAAGGGTAACCATGGTAACTATGCGCGGGAAGTCTTCTTCGCTGCTTTTGTGGCAGACTACAGCGCCACTTACAGGCCTGGCATATGTACTACAGCGTCTCCAGCGCTTTCGAGCGGCAATGACCGGCCGTGGCCCAACCCCACATTCCCCTGATAGGTGGAGAGTTGGCCCAATAGCCGTAGTGCCACTTCTGTGACGACATAGAAGTGTTCAAATCTGGATCAGTCTGTATCAGATCCGTTGCAGCCCCTGTTTGAGAGATTTGGGTATGGAGGAAAATAGAGAGGGTTGTGTTTTCTGACACTTGGTGAGTTCCCTGGAACACCGGGGACACATATTCATGTATAAAAGACGTACAAAAGTGCATTTTGCATGATAGGTCCACTTTAACTCAAAAAGAACAAGCTTTTGACAGATTTCTGGCGTTCGTGTGTGTGATAATTTAGGTCCAAAACACTGTCAAACTAAGTCAAAACCTTGGCAGTATCTCATTGGTCAGGATTACGCGCAAACTCGCACTCATATGAAATATGGAGGTCCCAGTTGTTTGTACAGGCAGCTGGGATGCCTTAGTGCATTCCTAGATATTAAAGACTCCCTCTCTGCTCTCACTTCTCATAACAGTCACCTTGTCTGCAGTTCACTCCTATCAACACAAGCCTCATGCTCCATTTAATTCATCATTTTATTGGGCTTTGCAAAAAGACCACAAAAAGCATAACAGGGCCCCTTTTAAGTAAATACACAAATTATTTCCTGTGTTTTTTTTTTAATAATATATCTATACAGATACATATAAAAAACTGATTTATAAAGTAAAAAAATCTATGCCATATAGATTTAGAACATCATTGTGTTTCGTACACAAATGTATTTTACATGTGCAAGCATGCACACGCGTAACACCATGAGGTTAATACCACTAGTCAAATCTCTTTTGTTGAACATGCTGTCAGTTGGCGTTGCCTTTGTTCTCAGGTGACGCCCTTACTTTGGAAAAAAAGACACTAACCCACAAACCTGACCATCCCAACCTCCCACAGCAAACACACTCACACAATGTCTGTTTGTTCCTATCTCGCTGTCTTCACCAAGCGTCTGTGTTCACCAGTGCTGCAGTAAACATCTGGATACACGTTTCCTGCTCCTCGCTTTCCACTCTCTAGTTCCCCTGAAGGCACAGCAGGAAAATCCTCCTCTTTATTTCTCTCTCTGGTCTTTTGTGGCCATGCGAGTTTGTATTGCATTAGGACCCTGACAGGGCCGCCTGTCTGAGAGGAGCTGGAGAGGAGAGGGGCTCCGCTTTGTCTCATCCCTCCTTTATTTGCAGCCTGAGGCCATGGTGTTGTATTTACTCTGGATAGGCTGAGATTTTCCCTTCATTCTTTTCCAATCACACGCCTTTGTCAACAACACACACACACACACACACACACACACACACACACACACACACACACACTTAGTTACACAATATTAGCACAACAGTCTGGGGTTAATGATTAAACATCAGGCCATCCCGAGTTCAGCCGCATTCTTTGTTGTGTTTTTGTTGCAACCACTTCATCATAAGACAACCGCTATTGGCTGTTGGTTTGTGAGTGGAGGGAGCCGATCCAAACAGTAAACTGGGCTAAAACAATAGTTCAGTTTATCTGGAGGGATTTAGAGATTACGCTGTGGTAATGGGAGTTGTATTCTCCATTTAGTTCCCACAGTCTAAACTGTGGTGTAATGGTGGTGGGAGTATTACTAGTCAGCAGGAAACCAAAGTTAGGGAGAGGTGAGATTTTCTGTCTGTTGGACTTCCTGCAAAACACACAGACACACACACACAGACACACACACACACACAGGTGAAAACGGTGTCTTTTTAAATGTACTTTTACATAGAGATGAAGAATAGATGATGGTGGATTAAGATTACCATAAAGTGTGTGTGTGTGTGTGATGGTGTGTGTGTGTGTGTGTGTGTGTGTGTGTGTGTGTGCTGTGTAGTGTGTGATGTGTGTGTGTGCTGTGTGTGTGTGTGTGTGTGTGTGTGATGTGTGTGTGTGTGTGTGTGTGTGTGTGGTGTGTGTGTGTGTGTGTGTGTGGCTGTGTGTGTGTGTGTGTTGTGGGTGTGTGTGTGTGTGTGTGGTGTGTGTGTGTTTGTGTGTGTGTGTGTGTGTGGTGTGTGTGTGTGTGTGTGTGTGTGTGTGTGTGTGTGTGTGCTGTGTGTGTGTGTGTGTGTGTGTGTGTGTGTGTGTGTGTGTGTGTGTGTGTGTGTGTGTGTGTGTGTGTGTGTGTGTGTGTGTGTGTGTGTGCAGCCATTACAAGCTGATTTGTAGTTTGTCACACACAAACCTCCTCCCTCTGCCTCCCTACTTTACTGTCAACACAAAACTAGAGTAAGCCTTGAGTCACAGAGGGAGGAACCTGGAAACAATTGATAAGGAGGTCAAAGGTGAAGGACTGGGCGAAAGATATAGGGAGAGAACAACAGCTATACACCTGTACTTATAGCTGTACTTATTTAATTTGAACACCTGTATAATAGCAACCAATTCAACAAATCCAATACATTTCACCTTTGTGATGATCCAATTTTGCTAAGTTGGTTCAAACTTCATGCAACATTTTGGGGATGTGTTTACTGTATTTTCTTTTAAATTAGTGCTGCAAAAACAATCTTTTAAACTTGAATATGAGAATAGTTGGCAATAAATATGATCATTGAGTGGCTGTGTTTGTGTTGTGATGCCCAGCTCATGTGTTGAATTACAGCAAATGCTGCCTTCTTTTTTGTTGAAACAAAAAAAACTTGACAGACAATAATATTTTCTTTCTGTTTTATGTAGTATGTATGTAGCCAGCCCTTGATACATGTATTTTTGAATATAATGCTTGATAAAGCTAATACCACTTAATCGATCAATTGCAAAATGGAGATAACGCAGATTGAAGGTATTTTTGTCAGTCGAAGCAAACACAATCTGTTTTCGTGAATAAACCTACCCACGTAACTGAAAACCAAACTGGGACCCTTTTCAAATTGCTGGCTTTGCACCTCTTGGCCTACTGGTGGGTGCAAATGTGCAATGTGACCCTGTGGAGGGGAATCAACTGATCATTTACTTTAAATAGGCTGATAACATTCACAGTGGGTGCCATCACCCCTATATCGCCAACTGCCTGCACTTACTGATGTTTTTTTGTCATAAATCATAGAAACTGCACCATAAAATTATTCTATTTAATGTTCGTACCACTCTAACAATGCTGCTATTATGATCTAACTAATCTAGTGTTACATGCATTTGTATATCTTAGTGGAATACAGTGATGATGAGGTACAAATACACAGAGCAGCTTATTCCTGATACAAATCAATGCAGCGCTGTCAGACGGCTTTCCCCTTAAGATGAAGCCCCGTCACCTCTCTGAGTTATCTCATCTCACACATCTCACTGGGAGAGCAACACATCTCAAACCGGACACACACACACACACACACACACACACACACACACACACACACACACACACACACACACACACACACACACACACACACACACAGAAGAGCGACCAGACCGTGACAGAATCCTGACGGAATGTGGAGCTTATCTTTGGCCGGCAGGATTATAACACACACACACACACACATACACACACACACACACAAACACACACACACACACACACACACACACACACACACACACACACATCCCAACTCTCTGCTGAAGTTATTCTGCTCAATCACTCAAGTTTTCCAAGCTCTAAAACGGAGTTATGAGTTTAATTTTTGGGAGTTACACCACACTTTAACTCATCTACGTTCTCAATAACACTTGCTAGCTGCTCCATGGGGTGTGATGAGACACTCGCACACTCATTCAAACAATGCTGCACATAAACATACATATACTTTATATGTATACACATTACTGCAAACTTTAACAATGTTAGATGCAGAAGGAAAAACTAAGGTAATTACATCTTTGTGTAAGTATATGTTCTAGGCCAGCCAGCTTACATTTGATTATTAAAATGATACCTACATTGGAATAATGAGTTATTTGGCATTTAAAAACAATTATTAAAGCTTTAGCTATAAAGTTTTTTTTTTTTTTGGAGCTTTGTTTTTTGGCACCTTTGCCTTTTATTTGACAGAGTAGAGACATAGACAGGAAATGGGGATAAAAAGAGGTTAATTACATGTAAAGGATCCATGGCTGGACTGTTACACAGGACATTGCGATAATGTGGGATCTGCCACATGCAACAAAAGGCTGCGGGTCAGACTCGAACTCCTGCCCGCGTCATATTAAACGTGCACATCTGAGAGTTCTATCAATCTTCTCATCTAACCTTTATTTTTTGTAATGGTTATTTTCCTGTGCGTTGGTAGGGCAGTACAAACAATCAACAGGAAAACACTTAGGGGGGAAATGCAATAATAAGACAAACTTAAGTCAGGCTTTAGTAGAGTCAACAAACCCACCACTATTAAAAAGGGTCTGTTTCTGTGAATCAAGAATAATACAACAAGCCCCCAATGTATAGTTTGATTAAACAGTGTTTGTGTGTGATATGGCAAATCCAGCTTTAGTCAGAATGTTATTTTTTTTCATGAACTTAATGCATTGATGTTTGGCAGCCTGCTGTACTGGATAACCTCCTGACCTCCATGAAGTTCGTCCTCCACGGTATGGGCGTCCTGCGGATCAACCTGGCTAACAGCAGGAACAAGGTAAGGCCGCACTCCTGGCCTTTTCTACTTTATTACAAATGTCCTTTAATCTGCCCTTTTCTATTTTTCTTTCTCATACTGATCCTCTTCTGTTCAAATATATCTTGAGTTTAATGCTGCTGGTTTTCCTGCACTTCACCACATTCTCCACTAGAGGGCAGCATCTCAGCACTGCAGGCACAGCTACTGCATCTGGCAACACACACACACACACACACACACACACACACACACACACACACACACACACACACACACACACACACACACACAGATCAGAAAGTTAGATGGATAGTGGTGGGTGGATTAATTGTGAGGTTAGATTTGATTTTAACTTTTTTGTCAGAGTTTTAGAACTCATACACTGTCCACCCACTCAGCCATGATGACACACAGTGTTTCCTCTATTAAATGTCACCAGGGCGTGTGTGTGTTTGTGTATGTGCTTTAACATGTATTTGTGTGCTTATCCTTTTATGTGTGCATCTGTACTTATTACCAAGTCTCGAGAACAAGCTTCTTAAACTTTTCTGTCCTCTTTCACGTCCTTTTTTTCATCCTGCCTCGCTCCTCCCTGTGCATCCATCCATATCTCCTTCTCTCCTCGCAGGTCCACGCCCACTCTGTCCTGTCGTGTGGGCGGTGTTTTGACGAAGAACAGGTGCTGTTTCCTTTCCTTGACCACGCCCTGTCCTATCTGCTGGCCGACCAGGGGGTGAGGGCGGCGGCGGCCCGGGGATACGAGTACGAGCTCAATGACTCTGCGCTGTAGTGAGTACTCTGCTCACACTCACGCTGTTCCAAGGACATGCAGGGGTCCAATTAGCAGAACTTAGCAGCCGATGTTCAGCCGTGTGCTCGCTGTCACTGGGAATCAGAGCTCTGGAGAGTGGAAAGGAAAGAGGGAGGGAGAAAAACCCAAGTAGAGTGTAATTACATGTACCTCCACGGGTATTTTATACATCCATGTAACACCTTTTAAAATACACACATTAGTTGGTTTTGAATGTGTGCATATGAGAGGTCAAACTTAGAGGACATTTGTGAAATGTTTAAAGGTTCCCTATTTAGCTTTTTATTTATTTTATTTCCTGTACTTTGTTATACAAGTTTGTGTGCATGTAAATGGTCTGCAAAGGCTAACATCCCTGTGTTCCCTCCAGAGGGAGTTTCTCTCCCACACACCTCTGCCTGAAACATCTACATTTGTTTCACCTCAGTAACAAAGTGACATCACTATGTAACATTAGAGCTTCTATTGGCTAGTGCTTCAACTAATTCTACGTGATAGGCTATGGGGCGGGACATCTCTAAGCAGTTGACCAATCACAACAGAGCCGGCCAACTAACCAATCAGAGCAGACTGGGCTCTGGTTTCAGACAGAGGGTGAAAAGAGGTGCTGCAGCACAGGCAGTATGAGAAGAATAAAGAGCTTTTTGAACATTAAATCATGTAAACATGTCACAGTAGAGGAACAAAATACAAATATGAACCTAACAATCAGCATAATACAGCCCCTTTAACTCTGCACATTTAAGAAACAATCTGCAGGCATGAAAGTAAAGAAGTGAGGATGAAGATGAAAATAAGAAACAAGTGTACATCAGGGGGGGGTGGCGTGTGTGATTCAGAAGTAAGGCAGAGCTGGGACCCACCAGGAGGCCGTCTGTTCTCATCCTCTACCCCAGCGAGAGGCCTCCACTCTGGGGTTATCTACACCGACAGGCTCCCCTGTTCACACTGAGAACCACCATACATCATCATCATCCTCGTCTCTCCTCAGACACACACACACACACATACACACACACACACACACACACACACACACACACACACACACACACACACACACACACACACACACACACACACACACACACACACACACACACACACACACGGTTGTGAGGACTATTATCAAGTATAGATGCTGATGATTATATGTGTGTTTGGAAGATAAAGTAAAATTGTTTACTTTCTTTACTCATTAGGGTTGTGATTAGGGCTGCACAATACATTGTTTGTTGTCTTTGCATTGTTGATTTAAAAAAAAAAAAAAGCTCGTTTTGCACTCTGTATTTTTTTGGTCACCAAAATTGGTGACCAAAAATACTGTAATACTAGTCAAAATGTACCCAAACAAAAAATGACCTGTCTCTTACAGTAAACTCAGAAAGGTCCTCACAAAGACACAATTCCAAAACAGAAACTTGCTCTTCGTACAGCAGGCAGTGTGTTTTTTAAACAGCAGGATGTGAGTAGCTTCCCAAGAAACTGATTCAGGGTGACTAGTCGAGAATGTCACTGTCAGTTCACGTAGGTGGAGGTGTGTGTGTGTGTGTGTGTGTGTGTGTGTGTGTGTGTGTGTGTGTGTGTGTGTGTGTGTGTGTGTGTGTGTGTGTGTGTGTGTGTGTGTGTGTGATGTGTGTGTGTGTGTGTGTGTGTGTGTGTGATGTGTGTGTGTGTGTGTGTGTGTGTGTGTGTGTGTGTGTGTGTGTGTGTGTGTGTGTGTGTGTGTGTGTGTGTGTGTGTGTGTGTGTGTGTGTGTGTGTGTGTGTGTGTGTGTGTGTGTGTGTGTGTGTGTGTGTGTGTGTGTGTGTGTGTGTGTGTGTGTGTGTGTGTGTGTGGTGTGTGTGTGTGTGTGTGTGTGTGTGTGTGTGTGTGTGTGTGTGGTGTTGTGTGTGTGTGTGGTGTGTGTGTGTGTGTGTGTGTGTGTGTGTGTGTGTGTGTGGCTCGCTCACTCACTTTTCACTGAGGGCACACACGATACAGTTGATTACACTAGCTGTCTTAATAGCTAATCTGTGTTGGAAAGCTTAGCCTCGGTGTGTTATTATGGTAAACCGCAGTGTGAATATTCATCATGATGAGCCGCTGCACCCCCTGGGGCTCCAGCCTTATCACCGCATGCTCCACCCGCCACATGGCAGCTGATGGCCACACACACAAACAAACACTAACACACACAAACAAACACACACACAAAAGGGCGAGTCTACACATCTGCATTCCTGATGTTATTCTCTTTTGATCTCAAGTTTTAACTGCAGGTTATTAAATGCTTCTTCCTCTCCCCCCCTTGTTTCTCATCTGTCTCCCTCTCTCTGCCTCCTCCTCTTCTTCGTCTGGTAGTTTCTTTGAGAACCTGACCCGCATCACGTCTCCAGATTACGTGCCCACAGAGACGGACGTTCTGCGAGTACGACTGAGGACCACAGGCGTGATAGAGACCCAGTTCAAAGTCAACCATCTCATTTTCAGGTAGACACCTATCACTCTTTAATAAGAGGTAATAATGTTGAATAAATGTACCTATCACCGCATAATAAGAGCAGCTGCTGTCAGGTCTGCACTTGACTTCTCCAGAAGCGCCTGTCCTACCAATTTACTTCACCTGTTTAGCCGTGACACTCTTATCTGCGTCTACAGCCATGTGATAGGCGCGAGATGTGAGATGAAGATGGCGCCTTCATTCAATACGTCAATATTGCACCTATCATCTGGCTTTACACTCAACCGCAGACTGCACACACACTCATTCAAAACTCTTATCAGTGGAGAAGCAGAGGGCAGGAATCTGAGCCCCTGAGACTGATGTGAGGTGACCATATTCATCTTTGATCAATGAGCCGCTGTCACATAATACCAATTTGTTCTAATCCTCCAAAGACTGAACTCATTTCCTGAAAAATGCAGATGGTCGTGACATGGCGATGGATATGAATGAACTTGATTTCTCGGCAGCCTGATAGAGCCGACCAGGATCAAAGACAAAGCCCCTAAAACAACTGATGTTGATGAGGCTTATTTTGTACCAGTAGATTATTTGTACAGACATATACATAAAAGCACTTCAGTAAAAGATTATTTACTGAAGTAAAAATAGCACTACTACCATGTAAAAATATTCAGTTACAAGTAAAAGTCCTGCATTTAAAATTGTACTAAATCAAAAGTTGAAAAGTATAAGCAATAAAAAGTACTTTAAGTACCATAAGTAAAAATAGCCATTTTGAGCACCAGATCTTTTCTAATTATATTATACAAATTAGTTGTGCATTTATGGTTCATCACTTCAATGTTGCACTTGGTAAAGGTGAGGTTTATTGTAATTACTTTATAAAGGACTGGGTAGCTTAACCTATGCATTTAATATAATGTGTGTTGATTTTGTATTAATAACCTTAAATCGGCAAAGTATCTAGTAAATAAATATGTAAGATAAATGTTGTGGAGTAAAAAGTGCAACATTTCCCTAAAAATGATAGTATAGTAAAAGTAGCATAATGTTAAAATACTTAAGTAAAGTACAAGTACCTCCATTATTTACTTAAGTATAGTACTTGAGTAAATGTACTTAATTACATTACACCACTCTGTAATAGTTGTTACATGAGCTCAAATATTTTTTCTCTACTGCTTCAAATACTTTTACCAAAAATTCACTTTTAATTTAAAGGGGACCTATCATGCAAAATGCACTTTTGTACATCTTTTCTACATGAATATGTGTCCCTGGTGTTCCAGGGAAATCACCAAGTGTCAGAAAACACAACCCTCTCTATTTTCCTCCATACCCAAATCTCTAAAAAAGGGGCTGCAACGGATCTGATACAGACTGATCCAGATTTGAACACTGTCCTGACGTCAGGACAGTGGCGCTACGGCTATTGGGCCAACTCTCCACCTATCAGGGGAATGTGGGGTTGGGCCACAGACGGCCATTGCCGCTCGAAAGCGCTGGAGACGCTGTAGTACATATGCCAGGCCTGTAAGTGGCGCTGTAGTCTGCCACAAAAGCAGCAAAGAAGACTTCCCGCCCATAGTTACCATGGTTACCCTTCTGTTTATTCTCCACTGTGGCTTTTTTTCTCCCTCCCCGAGGCAAGCGTTTGCTCCCGCTGCTTTAATTCAATGCAATCCCTCCCCGTCGAGGCAAGCACTGTAATTCTCTCCGGTTAGTCCACCAGCAGATGACAAACACCCACCTCTCCGCCTCTTCCAAGGAACGAGGGGACCGTGCGGCAGAGTTTCAGTTTCAGTTTCTTTCGCCGGTCAAGATGTCCGTTAAAGTTTCAATCTTCCGGACAAAATTAGAAAAGTGCCGGTCAAAGGTCTTCTTTGTTATTTATTGAGCTTTAAAACAAATGAATAACGACTCTATATAATAAAACACGGAGGACGGAGATCTCTTTTTCTCCCCCTCTTCTGACAGCCCAGCAGCTGATCAGAGCACGTCTCCCCTCTCCTGCAGGGGGGCGTGGTCAGCTGCAGCTCACAGAGATCAGCCCTGTAGACAGCAAACAGCACATAGAGCGAAATGAGGCATGGCTAAAATGCATGATCTGTTTGGTATTTTGAAAACAGAAACGTATAAATATACCTTATATAGGTATGGCCCTACAATATATCATTTAAATATAGCATGATAGGTCCACTTTAATGAAACCTGTGAAATTAAGTAACTGGAAAAAAGGAGATTTGGGGAAATTCTGTACACAAAAGAATAACCAAAACAAGTTGCTGTTCCGTGTTATATTACATTTTCAGAACATGCAATTGAGGAAGCGATTCAGATATTTGGGCTAATTCCCTTCATTAAATCCCTACATGAAAATCAGTTTTCCTCGGAGGTGTACTTAGACACATTTCCGCTTTGAGATAAAATGCTATCGTCAGCATGCTAACATGCTCACAATGATCATGTTGACGTGCTGATTTTTGCAATGTTCAGCATCATAATTTAAAGTGTTGGCATTTCAACATTTGTTAATTAGCACTAAGAACGTCATTAGTTCTGCAGGTATTTGGTGACAATTTTACACTTAACATTAGTGGTCCGTGGTGACGTGGAAATAATGGGTTGGTTTTTAGAGTGTTGGCTCAAAGCCGCAGCATGAAGGATTGTGGGTGATTTTCCAAACACTGGTTTTATTGGAAGACTAATGGTCCATGGAGGGTTAACAAGGACACATTCAGCACTGCTCACATTTCATCATGTGTGAGTCTATCACTCCTTGAAAAGCAGATTACTTTCTTTCTCTTTCTAAGTAATGTCTACCTGAGGAGCACCTCTCCTCTGGAACAATAACAACCTGTCCTTCATCCGCGCTACACATGACATATTATATGGAATTATAAGAACAAATCACATTACCTCAGATTTTCATAAGATCTCTGTTTAGCATATAAACTTTGTAGAGCGAGGCGGTTTGTCAGCAGATGTCTTCAGTCTGGGGCATTTGTGTCTCATCTAAATACTTCTAATACATCTCTAGATGCTGCTGCCTTTGTGGGAGTTTTTGCATTTAATGCCATATATTGGATTTCAACCTTGGAAGTATTTTACGTCAAAGAAGTTTAACCAGCATACAAGCACTTTGATGATAACCGTAGCTGTTGTGCTGTGCAGATAAATGTTGCTTGTTCCTCGCAGTCTTGTTGCATGCGTCACTGTTGAGTCACTTAGAGGCTGTTTTGCCTTTTTTTAAATTAGTTTGTTTTTGTGTTTTTCTTGTGAAACATAGTGATGGTGACGTCACCACATGGTGACAGTGTCAGTCCTAATGGGGGGGGGGTGGCAGGATGGAGCTTTCCCCCTCACACACCCTTTTATCTGCTGAATTATTAGTAGATAAATAATTGGGTGGAGTTAATCGTCAGACAGCACAATGAGAGTGTGTTTGTGTGTGTAGGTTCATGCCTGTGACTTGGAGAGATCAAGTTCTTGGGGTTATTGATGAGCTTAGCATAAGTCAATGTAATTATGTCAATATTAAAGGGATTTAGATGAGTAGATGGATAGTCTTTGTTAGAACGAGCAAGTCTACATTCGTACCATTCAGACATAGACAGAACATATTTTTACAAACTAATAAATTAACACAAGACTTTTGAAATATATCAGTATATAACATTTTTCATTCATTGAAAGTTTAGAAAGCAACAGCTGAGTAAATATATTTAAGTTGAGAATATAGACACCACTCTCCAATGTCTTTACAGTAGCATACATTTAAAAAGCCATAGCCAGCAGCCAGTTAGCTTAGCTTAACACAAAGACTGGAAACAGGAAGACAACCAACCTGACTATATCCAAATGGTGTAAAATATGATCTGCAAATGTTATAAATATACTACCTTTGTATTATAATAATCTTTGTTACCTTTGGAAAGAACCAGGGCTAACTGTTTCCCCTGTTTTTCATTATTTGATTGAGCTAAGCTAACTGTCTGCGCAGAGACCTGAATAAATGATCATAGGCATAAAGACAAGAAGCACTAAGGAAGAATGTGTTTACATCTTTGTTTGTTAATAAGTCAGCTTTAGTGGTGATTTCTTTACAGAGCCAAGCTAGCTGCTTTCCCCTGCTCTCATTCTACTGTATGTGCTAAGCTAAGCTAACTGACCACTGGCTCTACGTCTCTCCTTCCTTCTTTTCTGTATCTCTCCTTCTTGTCATCTCTGTGGTTACATGTGATTGGTGCATGTGTATGTTCGGTATGTACTATATGTATATGTATATGTATACGGCATTTCGTGTTATAGTCACGAAATTAATCTATTGATTCGTGCTCACCAACACGATTTCGCCATTTTTTTCGTGTCACACAGAACGATTTTAAAAGCAATGTAAATAATAACAAATTAGAAGGAAAAAGACATTTAAAAAATACAGATTTAAGTATTCTGACACAGAACGATTTTAGAAGCAATGTATTTATATTGGTAGTATGTTTCGTGCCTGCACCAAATAATAACAAATTAGAAGGAAAAAAAGATGACGAAAAATACAGATTTCAGTATTCTGAGGCTCTGAGCCATTTCTTTTCCTCACTGACGGCAAAAAAACTCAGACATTATACAATTTAAAAATAAAAGGGATCGGGTTAGGCTTAGGGTAAGATATTGAGTGAGAAAATGTTTTTATGAACCACACAGCTTCTGGTACCCGACCGGACAAAAAGACGTGTTGCAGGCACGAAACACACTACCAATAGAAATACACTGCTTTTAAAATCGAAATGCCGTGAGACTGGGTCATTCTCTGTGAGGCAGATCAAAACTGTGATTTAAAGCACATACTCTCAGGTGTTCAGTGTCATTATTCACTATAAAAAAAATCAGTTTTGAATGCATATATTGTTCTGAAAATGGAATCAACTGCAATTTTTTACACACAAACGGATATTTCACACTCAGCTTCAAATGACCGACATGATCTCGTTATTTAAACACTTAATCAACAGTACAAGAGATGTCCCCAAGCCATCCTCTTTCTAGCCTCTGTGTGTGCAGGCTTGCGTGTCTGTGCATGCAAATGAGAAATGTGTGTGTGCGCATAGAAAAGCACACAGTCTCCCAACTTTAAACCCAGACACAGCCTAGTTTGCATACAGACCTCCTGTTTGACCTTTGACCCCCCCCAGTTTAATAACGATCTGGATCTTTTCCTGCATCATTAACATCAACTGCTCTGATAATTACAATTACAACACTGCAGATGAGGTTGAACATTATGGGGCAAGAAGGGCCAGTGGGGATGGAAGAGAAAGGATGATGTAAGGCTAGGGAAAGTGTTTATTTATACAGACTAGATCAAAGTTTGAAATACTTTTGATCTCTAGAGTACAGTTAACTAAATCAGTTCTCATTAAGAGAATAATAATACAGAATGTGCCCCATAAACACAGACTGTAGTCCTCTACCTTCAATCATAACGGGTTACCAAACCAATGTAATGAGTGTAAACACATTTAGTTATTGTAATAATGGTTCCTAAAAAGGTTAGTGTAGATGCTGCAATAGCATCATTTGTATCAGGTCTGGATAGTATGTCTTCATTAAAGGAAGAGCAGAGAAAGGTAGTGAAATCATTTCTCAAGTAAGACCTTGTTTTTGCTCTTCCCCCGATTGGATGGTTCTGTATAACAACCCTTCTGGTGCGTCAGCTTTGTTCTTGACTTCCATGAAATAGAGTGTGTACGAAACTAAACCTGACTTTGTATGACATGGGATACACTGAATAAGGCTGAGTGAATGTAATGTGACATCACGATTTTGGTATCCATGCATTCTGTACAAAGATCTTATCTGAAATTAGATTTTTGTTCTAATATATTATTATTGTGGGACAGTTTAGTACGTACACTAAGCTCCTGTATCAGATTTACAGATTTACTTAATATGAATATTAGGACAGTATGCAATTCCGGGGTGTTTCAAGTCCTCAGCCAAATGTGTGACTTTGGCTGAGGAGTACACACCTCTGCCTTTCTGTATCTGAAATATAAAACCAGGTTGCTGGAAGCAGAACTTGACTAAATAAGATATGAAGCTAACATTGGGAGTAAATTGTGGTCAGTGTGTATCTGTCTGTTTACTTTCAAAGCAGGCAGCACTTGTGAGAGTGTGTGTTATTAGGGTTACATTGTGCACATGTGCTTGTGAGTAGGTTTGTGTAATGAAGCATCAGCTGCATGTCCTGGGCCGTGCTTTATTCCCGTGGAAAATGTCCTTGGGGAATCTTATCTTGTCTTGTCTTTGCTGTTTGTTTTTCTCTTAGTGCATCTGTGTTTCCACATGTTCATCTGCAATAACTCGATGGATGCTCAAATGAAAGGTGGGAGATGGCACATCTGGCTCTGACAATGGGTGAAGGGGATGAACTGATCAGTGTGTCTCTCTCTGTGTGTTATTCCTGTAGTGTTTTCCTCTCTCGCCCCTCTGGAGAACGGTGACCTTTATGCTCTCTGTGCTGCCTTGTTGTGATTGTCTTGGTGAAAAGGAGTGTGTGTGTGTGTGTGTGTGTGTTGTGTGTGTGTGTGTGTGCTTGTGTGTGGTGTGGTGTGTTGTGTGTGTGTGTGTGTGTGTGTGTGTGTGTGTGTGTGTGTGTGTGTGTGTGTGTGTGTGTGTGTGTGTGTGTGGTGTGTGTGTGTGTGTGTGTGTGTGTGTGTGTGTGTGTGTGTGTGTGTGTGTGTGTGTGTGTGTGTGTGTGTGTGTGTGTGTGTGTGTGTGTGTGTGTGTGTGTGTGTGTGTGTGTGTGTGTGTGTGTGTGTGTGTGTGTGTGTGTGTGTGTGTGTGTGTGCAAATGGCAGATTTTAGGAATATCTGACCTTATCTGAAACCAATACAATCTGTCATTGATTAGAGTTACCCCTCAGAACTACACTGGACTATAACATCAGTATGGGCGGTCATGAACACACAGAGAGCACAGATGTACACTGGAAATTGAATCCTGATAAAGGACATGTCAGTAACAATGACACTTCATGGCTCATACTTCCACACATACAGACACACTCCCATATAACTTAAATATATAAAACACGTTTTACAACTTAACAAACACATACATTTTCTTAATAATAATAACAATCATGCATCCAAAATAAACAAAAAAATATAATTAGAATTTCATATTGAAGAGTATTTTGACCAAATGACTTCCCTGTAGTGTGAGAGTCACTGCTGTGTGCCCATGTGTGTGTGCATATGTGTGTGTTCACTCTCTTAAAGGTCCCTGATTGGAGAATTTCCTAAACAGCACCTGGGCCCAGATTCTCCCGGTGGCTCTGTCTTATTGCTCTGCACATGCACAGCTTTTCTGTTACCTTGCCTTTGGTTCACTTCTTTCTACATCTTGATTCTTTAATCCGTTTATCCAGTTCATAATACATTTTCTTGGTATTTTATGTCCATCGCCCACTTTTGTCATATTCCTCACTGCAGGGTTTGGGACTGTAACCCTGCACACCCACACATATGTTCCGGTAGTTATGCAGATAAGACCTGGGGTTGCAAAATTCCGGGGAATATTGTCCTCAGCTAAATGATGGTGTCTTCAGTATGTTTAATAGTACTTTTTGTTAACATGTTATCCTTCTCAGCTTTAGAAGGCGATAATAAAGTATTTAGTGCCTTTCAAGCAGTCAACAGCAATGCCATTGTAGGTCAAATAGAAACTTAGAAAAGTGTGTAGATAAGATCAATATCAAGGTCAAGTAAGAAGATGGGCAAGGTTGTTGAATGTGCAATGACCCCCCCTTCCCTGGCTTCACTTTTTATTTTTTATTCTACAATGTCCATAAATCGCAATGAACGTTTCAGATATTTTCTATTTTAATTGTCTACACTTTTCTCTCTCTTTCTCTGCATTTTGATTTCAATGTATTCAGCTCAGTTCCTTTCTTTGTCTATATTTATTCTTTCTGTGGGCACCTATCAAACTCTGTTGTTCTGTTTAGGATGTACGACGTTGGAGGCCAGAGAACTGAGCGGAGGAAGTGGATTGGTTGTTTTGAGGACGTCAGGACGGTGCTGTTCGTGGTGTCGCTCAGCGGTTACGACATGACCCTGGTGGAAGACCCTTCTGTGGTACACGCTGTCCCTCTGTCACAAATATTCACACTCTCCATGCAAAGCATAGACCACTTGTCAAGTCTCAGCTAATTATTTAACTATTTAAGTATGTTTCTTGTTTGTTTCTTTGCCATGTGATATGTGATCTCTGTTCTGTATCTATGACTGATTGACCTGAATGTTTTATGTTTATTATCTCGATGCCCAAGACAAATTTCTCCTAAGGGAGACAATAAAGCTCTATCTTACATAGAAAAGGTTTTAGAATGAACAGACGTCTGCTGTGCTGCTGTCTGACAGTGTGTTCTCTTCTCTGCAGAATCGTCTTCAGGAGAGCTTGAAACTCTTCTCCTCCATCTGCAACAACGTTTTCTTCCGCAGCACATCCATGGTGAGAAACTCATCTCCATATGTCCTCCTCCTCAGGAGAAAAGATGCAGTCAAACAAATGTTGTCTAAAAGAGCCTATCCAAAAAGAATTATAGAGAGAGTTACCTACTGGTAACAGAGAAGTCAGAGTCTGATGTCTCCCCTTCCTGATCATTTGTCGTTCTGTACCGAAGCTGTAAGAGTGTGTTTATTACCATCCTGCACTGCAGAGCAGACCTCTTCAAAGAAAGCATAAATGTTATTCATTTAATGACGACATCTGGCAACTTTTGGTGGTAGTAGTTTTGTTAGCAAAGCTGCCATGAAACCCTGCATTTTGTTTTCCAGGGCAGACAGACCTGCATAAGGAAAGCAAGGCATATAGGGAACCAATCTAAAGGCACATGGTGTCATTGTTATACAGCGCATTGTGCAGCTCCTTCATAATGATAAGTTTAGGCAAAACATTTGTCTATTGCCACTTTAAAAGTCAGAAGACAAAGAGGGTCCAGCTGAAGAGGGTGGGAACAACAGATCAGTTTGACAGTTCAGTTGTTAGATTGAAATCATGGGTGAGTGGAGCCGACACTAGCAAACTGTCTTTGTGGCTCCCCATTTGTTCTCTACGGCGCCAGGAGACAAGAATACCACTAATGTGTTTGATAAATGCTGTTTCCACACACACACACAGGGCCCAGCCCTTTTTCCCTGATTCCCCTGTCACTCGTAATTAAAGAGCAAGTTGTAATTAGTGAGCTTTAACCAGGCGACATTTTCCCCTCTGTGATTTTCCGTTTCTGTTTCCGGTAAATTATCACATTAAAACAAGCGTGAAACAAGCTCAATTTGTTCCACTTCACTCGCCTTTAAAGCCCACTTCAAATACAAGTCACTTCATGTTGATGTGAGTGCCACCTGTTATTAGCTCTGCAGCATTTTCAGCAACTTTTCCAGAAGCCGGTCACTGAACACCATTTCTCTGCATAAAAGCAACCCCCGGTCTCTGATGACAACGGCAATTTCAGTGACGATATGTTGAGTTGGTGAGGATGAGTAAATTACATTTGGTGCTTTGTCAAAGAAACAGAAAATCACTAAGACCTCAATAAGAAATCATCTCTTTTAGTCGGTTTTATTTTTAACCGCAAAGATTTTCTTTTTATGCTTCATTAGAGCCAAATGGGCAATTAAATGTCTGTGTGTGACGTGTTTATGCGCGGGATTGTGTGTGGGCCCGCACGTTAACATGGCTAACAGGCTCATTAAACAAGAGTGTTTAATGTTACCTTTTTAACGTGGGAAGGAAACTTGTAACCTCCAGCTCAATTAACTCTTCACTGCGGCTGGTCAGCGGTAATTAAACACCCAGGGGAGGCTCTGGATCCTGTTCGCTGTACACCTGCCCCTTCCCTCGTCATTATTATCCCTTCTTTGTGTGCTCGTTTTTGTGATCAAACGGGCCGGAAAGACAACACTTGGCTGGAGTTTTAATTGGTTGACTCACGATCAAAAAGTACCTGTGAAATGTGGTGGCAGCGAAATCAAGGTGAATTTAAAAAAAACAGCAGAAAGACAGAGATGTATTAGAGTAGTAGCTACTACACGAGTGATTGATTTCACACCGGTGAGTGGAGGGAGGTCATTGATCCGCCATCATCACAGGGGGGGGGGGGGGGGGTGATGATGATAACACAGCCATTGATTTTCACAGTTTAGCAACATTTCTGTAAAGAGTGAGTGTAAACTGATCGATTGGTTTTATTGTTCAGTTCGTTATTGCAGTGCCAAAGATGCGAGTCACTTTTCATTCAGTCATTTACATTTTCTTAATACATCCGCATTGATTATTATTTTTCCACTGGAGACAAAGCATCTGATTGTTTTTTGCTTATTGTGTTTTTAATTGCAGATTTTATTCATGAACAAGATAGACCTCTTTCAAGACAAGATCTTACACTCCGGGCGACATCTGCGGCTCTACCTGCCACAGTTTAAAGGTAGGACTGATGTATGGACTGATGCTGGGCCGTTTTCAATGTATAAGACACCATACATAAAGCCGCAGTGGTGAAAGACGAGTCGGACATTAATAGAGCTGCAACGACCAATCGACTTCGTGAAATGACAGAAACATTTCAAAGCAGCTTTTTTTTATTGTACATTTTATATTCAGACTCGGAAACATTTCGATTTTCTTCTTTTCTCTGCTTTTTATCAAACTGAATATATTTGGGTTTTGGGCTAATAGAAACATTAAATGCAATCGTCTTGCCTTTGAGTAACCGGGACGCACATTTTAAAGAATGAACAATTAATCTATTAATACAAAATAAAAAAGATTTGCAGTAAAAAGGAAGTGTAGTACATGAACACAACACTGACCACGTTTATCAGCTGCGCTTTTACAATTAAATGTAAAATCCAATACAAAAGCACGGCCATAACATATACCTTTTTAAATAGATACTAATGTTCAATTTTGATACATGATCAGTTATGTATTAATCGAACTGTTTATTAGTGATGTTTAATTTTGGCTAATGTGTTGTCCACGTCATTCACTAACATGAAGGAGGACGCATATTAGAAACAGTCTTATATAATACACACCAGTGCAACAAATCGTCACTAATAAGACCTCAGTAAGAAACACATAGTTGAATCAGCATTATTAAAAAAGTTTGACCTTAAACTGAACATTATCATTTCCCTAACTGCAGAACGTGAATCAGATTTAGTGTATTGGCTTGCATTAACTTGTATATGTGTAGCCAATATCTAATGAAGTTGCCAGTGTGTCTTATTTGAGATGTTAGTATCCGCTCCCCTCAGTATTTCACTCCCCAGGTCTCAGTAGGCTCAACAGGGGCTGTGTCCTCTCCGCTCTCATGCAAATGTCAATATAAATGTGAAAACTCTTGGGTCGGGCAAAGAGCAGGCGTCCATCTCCCACTGACCTCAGATATGATTAGTCTGAAACAGAAGCTCTCAACTTTTGTCGTTTGAAGTTCCCAGTCTCTCTCAGACGACTCCTGTTCACTCATCAACACTTCATGTTCAAAATGTGTTCAGGTGTATAATGTTTGAACAGGATGTGATCAAATACAGAAACATTGACCATCCTAACATTGTCTCGTTACAACATGTTCAGGTTCAGTTTTCCCTTTTCTTCAGTACTTTTGAGGGAACAGAGATGAGGGAACAACTTACATTATACAAATAAAATGTTACACCAGAAACAAACACGCTTGCCTCTAAGAGCTTCTGTAGGTTTGCATTCTTGTTACGTGAGTGTTTTTAAATGCCATTTCATATCTTTGCTTTTAAATGAGTGTTTTGAAATGCCATTTTATAATATGTTTCTTAATGCTCTTAATGTCTTTCATTTTTGTAAAGCACTTTGAATTGCCTTGTGTTGAAAGGTGTTTCAACTGCCTGTAGTTGGTCACTTTTCAGACGTCCAGGATTTGTTAGCAGTTCCAACAAAAAGGGATTTATTCTATAAACTTTTCACATTGTTTTATTTCGATGTATTCAACCTATCCATTATTTTACAAAAAAAGAATAAACAAAATCATTTCACGAGCTCTCAGACTTATTCTGTGACCCTTTGGAGTGGCAAGACCCCTAGGTTGGGAATCCTATCAATAAACGACTTCATGAGAAGATAAAGTGCAGATTCATTAGCCTTATCAACATGCAGCAAAATGTTACCTTTACCTGGTTGCATCATTTTTAAGAATCTAATAATGTCATATATAATAATTAATCAGTCACACGTGATACTTTACTGCGGAGCAAGTAGTTTAAATGTAATGCTTCTTTACTTTTTACGTAAGGATCTGAATTATTTTTCCACCACCGCTTAGTTTTAATGACCTCCCATTACTTTGTGTTTGGGTGTGACAGCTGCTGTGATGCGTACTGTCCCCGATGCAGCTGGCAGTTAATGGATTATCGTGACAAAAGATACACTGTACGGATCAGCCTCACAAGAATTCAGAATCTGATTTGTGTGTTTATGTTCCTCCTAAAAACAAATGTGTAAATCCTGAAGACTATTCTATCAAGTTATCTGAGCTATTTCACAATCTGTCAACGCTCCTCGGATGGGATTCACAGGTCTTTGAAGAAAAACACTCTTTCAGTTGTTTTTAAAAAAGGAGCCAGATGTTGCATTGTAATAGTCTCACCCCCCCCCCCCCCCCCCCCCCCCTCTGCTCCAGGTGCCGACTGTGATGTGGATTCTGCCGCCCGATTCATCGCCGCCACCTTCGTCTCTCTCAACGCTACCCCCAGCAAACTCATCTACCACCACTTCACCACGGCAACCGACACCTCCAACATCGAGGTGGTCTTCCAGGTGGTCATGGACATGATCATCAAAGAGAACCTGGAGGCCGTGTCGCTCCTCTAGCTGCCAGTCGCTCAGAGACAGTCTCCTTATGGAGGTCTTATTTTAAAAGTCTGCTCCAAGCGCCTGTTTTCTCTCTCTCGAGCTACATCCTGGAAGCTCTCATGCTCTTGGATGTGTTGCATTTAATCCTTTGGGATGCTCCACGTAGCCTAGAGAAGCTCTTTTCTAAAGGAGAAACACCTTTTGCCTTTTTAGGTTGACTTGTGTTTAGTTACGGGCATTTCTAAATCTGTACTGTACTTAAACCTGACTATGAATCGTGAAGTTACTTTTTAGATGACTTGGTATACATGCCATTTATTTGCCCATCACATCCTGTTGTGTGTGTGGGTGGGACACAGAGGAGGCGAGGATTAACTGTTTGTCCGTTACTTCCTCTGCGCGCCGGTCACTCGTGCATACCGCAGGGTGTTTTCCGCTCATCCATCACTGTGTCTGTGCACATCCTGTGCGTCACACCCTCCTAATGAGGCGCTGATCACAGTAAAAGCACTCCGGTTCATGTTTACTGGTCCTGAGCTGAAATTGACACTTCTTTTATTGTCATCTCTGCTTTTACTTGTTCCCCTGACTCTTACCAGTCAGCCAAGATGCTGGTTTCTAATGTTAGAAATGGGAAAAGTGCACGTATAAAGAGACATCCCTGAACTGTCTCCCAACTGTTTTAATTGCCTTTCTTTTTGCCTTTCTTACATGCGCTCATAAAACCTGATTTGTAAACCATGGATGATGCTTAATCTATGTGATTTGTGTGGCATTAACTCCGCTTGGGGTTTGACTGTGGAGGCTCCCCTGAGCTACAGACTATCACAAGAGCTCCAGCAATAAACAAGATATGGTAATGACTGATACACTCTGATATGCACACTGAAGATGAAAAACAAGCGAAACACAGCCCTAAGTGCCTCATTATGAAGTGTTTTCATCTGTTGTGTAACTTAAATGCTTAATATGTATGAAATGTTTTTATTTTTCCCACTTTTAGTATTTCTACTCTTTGAATCTCAAACGCCATGTGATAATCAGACTTATTTATGGTCTGTACTGAGTATTGCACTGTTACTGCGATTCGAATTAAATGTGATATGCTGACGACCTTATTTTCACTTCATATTTCCATTCTTTGTCGGAGTAGACCACATAAATTGATCAAATAAATGTTATTTTCCCCCCCCCCAATAGTTGGATTTCTAAAGACAATTTTAAGCAATACAACAGGTTACCAGTGTTTGTTCATTTTAATAGATAAAATAAATAAAATTACTTTCCAGGAAATCTGCTCTGCAGTTAACGTTCTGGACATTTAATACATTTTGGCAAGAGAGGGTACATGTCAGGGGTTTAAACAGTAAAGATGGGAAGTCACCTGGAAAGAAGATCAACTAACATCTCTTTTTCTACACAAAGCAAAAGGTATTTTCAAACAAGAGAACATTCAGAGTCCGCAGCGGTCCATCGTTGACAGTGATCAGGTTTTCCTCTGCGCTATCCCCCCCCCCCCCCTCACACACTCCTCCAGCCCCTCTTTGCTTTCCTTCATCTTTCGTTACAAGAGAGGCGCTCCCGGGGATCGGTGCGTGGTCCGGTCCGCGCGGGACTCACGCGGACAGGCAGTCCAGGGAGTCCAGGGTGAGGAAGACGTCCGCCTTACACTGGAAGGTGCCCGTCCCGTCCCGCAGCAGCTCGCAGCTCTTCAGGTTTGGAGAGATGTCTTTGACGCAGATGGCCTGCGGGTAGGGGAAATAATAACGAGAGGATTTAAAGTTAACAACTGGCTAAATAAGATGTCACATTTATGTTTGTACTTCTGAAACTAAGGCTTGTATTTTAATTACTTTTTCGGGGGAATATTCCGTTCTCTATGGTTTGTCATAATAAACACATCTCTTATTAGACAAATCCTTTATTTTAATTCTTGTTATATATTTTGTGCCTTTATTCGAGTGTTTTCCTGAGGTCGGCTAATGATTTGAGATCCGTAAAAATGTTCCTTGGTTAATTTGTAAATGTCATCTTTTAGTGCGCTTCGAAGTGCTGCGCTTTTACGCACCAACTTCATCATTTAAGATTTGTTTTTTAGTTTGTTTCGTCGTCTTTATAAAAGCAAGGGTAATACAAGCTGTTGTGAAATCTTCAAATAAGTGTTGCTCTGTTGAAAATATTCCTAAACTTCCAAGCAAACTTTAAATATGTGGTGCTGATGGAAAGCAATAGTTACGCACGTCCCTTTCTCACGGAATAAAGTGAGCAGTCTGAACTCACCATGCTTTTGAGGATGGAGATCTGCCTGTTGGTCTCTGGGGTCACGTTGTTTCCCGCCGTCTCCCCGCTGTCCACCAGCGTCTCCTCGGACTCGGACCTGCGGACGTAAGGCGACCTCCTGATACCGGACAGCAGACCGGAGGCGCGCCCCACCGAGTAGTAGCTGGGCCCGGTGGACTGCTTGTACCAGGCTTCGGCTGGATGGCAGGAGATGAGCAGAGACACTCCGACGCAAACCACGGCAAACCTGACTGACCTCTCCATGTCTGGAACTGTTTTACGCAAAGGGAAAACGGCGCGTTTCTCGTCTGTTGTTTGTCAGAGGCCGACTTTATGTTTTGCTGCTTATTTGGAAACTTTCTGCTGTTTATATAGGCGGACAAGGCGACGTTATCGTGACCCAAGACGTTCGTCAAATCAAATTTGAGGTGGGCGTTTTTGGATCTGTCATTGTGCGTGAGAAGGAAAAAAAGACAAATCCGGATTGATCGTGTGTGTGTGTGTGTGTGTGTGTGTGTCCGTCCTATAGGGAGTGGAGGGGGCTGAAGATGTATACGGGAAGTCAGCCCTTCTCTGACGTCTCGTATACGTATTTCATAATGACGTAAGTGGTCAAAACTGAAATATTTCCTAATTTAAGTTAAGGAAGGGGAACTTTTTATGTCTGACTAAATTGACAAACTACTTGTTAGCTTTCAAATATGCTGAATGTGAAATGGATCAAAGCAAACCATGACTTTAGTTTGATTTCAGCTGTGAAAGATCAGTTGATAACATTTTTTCGATTCAATTTGCCTGTAAAATCCCACACAAAGTGCTTGCAGGTGGTTTAACTGCATCAGTGCTTGCTTGACCGCTGCATGTGATAAAAGGTACACAACCAAGCAGAATCAGTCTTACTTCAAAGTGAAGCTCGGAGGAATCAATGCAAAACCTTTTCCCCATTGATTTGCCAACCTCACTGGTCATGCATCATGATTTCCACTGCCTCTATCAGCAGATCAGTAGCACAACAGTGAAGGAGACTTAAACTAAGATGCATCTACTTTTGTGCAATTTAATAATAACCAAAACAGGTAACATTGTTGCTTTATATGAAACCAGGTTATGAGGGGGTCTGGATGATGGGAAAATTACTTTAAATGTATAGAGACAGATAAGAAATGATATGATATGTAATGTAATGTAATAAGAAGGACCTGTATGATGAATTTATCTGCTTACATTAAGATCCTATATACAAATAATGTCAAGCAATAAGGCAATTCATGTTTATTTTATTTTATTAACCATTAAAAGCAGCATAGAAAAATAATACTAGAGATTTATTAAGACAAATGTGTTCATGTAGGCGGACATCATGTCAATCCACATGAGTTAAAGCACCATTAGAGTCCATCAGAGTCCGTTGTAAAGAGGTCTGCAGTGCGGCTCTAGCTTGTCCTCCAGGACGTAGTCTGGCCCGCAGACCCAGGGGTCGCCAGTCTGCCACTGCCACTTCTGCAGACCCTGCTTCAGGTTCTCCAGCACGCCGCTGTAAGCTGGTTCTGAGGCCAGGTTCGTAGTTTCCAGGGGGTCTGTGCTGTGTGGGGGAGGAAGATTCAAACTTTATGAACAGAAAGAATAAGATACAAGACACCATGGTCCTCGTATTCATTATAATTAGTATCAGATTTCCTGTTTATTTCTTGGAAATCTAGAAAATAATTAAGAAACTAATGGACAGTAAGATACATATGTGTTGTTTTGGATGAAGGTTTAATGTCTGCAAGAAATACAATTATTGTGGAAAATACAAAAGGATATCTTATCTATTTTTAAGGGCCAATAGTTAACTGCAACTTTTGTAAAAAAAAAACACTTTAAGCCTAAAACATAACCACTACGTGAAAGCCCATCAACATACAGAAGCCATGACCTCTGTAACAGTCCAAAGTTAACGCTTAAAACATGAATTATAAAGAAGTCTTCTGACTGTGACTTTGATGAATGATGGTGGTTGAAATCAGGTTAAATTCAAGAGGAATGGATTTCCTAATTAAATTAAATGTTTTAAACACAGTATATTCAATCAGTCCTAATACTCTATTATGTTTTCTGTTAGTTTTCCAGGTCAAAGAAAGATCTGACTCATCTGAGCACAACAGAGAACATGTCTGTGCTCTGTTGTTGCATTAGTTCACATCAAGCAAAGGAAGGATTATTTTAAATGTTTAATCAATATGATGTAATTATTTTGTAATTTTGTCTATAAAATATCCATAAAGAGTGAACATTTCTCCAACTGACTTGTTGGAACAAGCAACTGTATAAAGACGAGAGATATTTGATGACAGGGGGAGATAAAAACAGAGAGAAGCAAATCCTCATATTTGGGATGCTGGAACCAGAAGATATCTTTCAATTGTGTCTTACACAAATTATCATCACATCTTTGAATGTGAATAAATGTTCTGTGTGTCAGCTGTCAAGTTGAAAGGTACTCATTTTATTAACTTTAATCTAAATTGTATAGCCTGTACTTTAGTCCTTTTACATTTTTCTAATGTATGTATGGATCATTGTTATTTGTTATGATTACTTAGGCAATAAATGTACCTGCATTTTTGTTTATAGCTGCGTACAAATGTAGCCACGTAGATTGTACTGCAAAATACAAATAGTAATAGCAATAGGTAATTAAATCATCTACATATTCTATAAGGTTTTTTTTACAAGCTGAAGCCACATTTGATTGCATCTCACCATGTTGCTGAGTTCTATATCATTATCTGTAGATCCCTTTACAGACTGAATGCAGCTGTGTTGGCTCCCTTCAAACTGCTAGAAGTGCGTTTAAGGCACATGTGTCAAACTCAAGACCCGGGGGCCAAATCAGGCCCTTGGTGGATTTAATTTCGGCCCGCAGGATAATTTTTAATTACTATTAGATCTGGCCCGCCGGTATATTGCACGCACACCTTCACTCAATCCTGAGGACTTCCTCCGCTCAGAGCCTGACCCCAAACATTGATGAACTTGCACCCAAGATGAGATGCCAAGTATCTGGCTTGAGCATCACAGAGCAGCACACTGACTTTCAATGGATGTTTCCTTCTGCACTTTTTCTCTCACGACAACAGGGCATGTTTGGTTTTTTCTTTGAGGGAAATAGTTTTTTTGAAGCTGTTGTTGGCCTGTGGAGAAATGTAATCATAAGAAATGACTCCGGAGAAGCTGCAGATAGAGCCATAAGAAATGAATGCAACTGATTATTTAATGTTTAATGTTGTTTTTATAGGCAATAATTTAAGCTTTGTTAGTTCCAGGTTTAATATGTGCAATAAGTTAATTTCAATAAGTTTTGCAATAAACATTGAACCAGTCCGGCCCTCGACTAGTACCCATTTTTTTTATTTTGGCCCACTGTGTATTTGAGTTTGACACCCCTGGTATAAAGGGTGAACTACCATGAAGGGGGAGGGGCAAAGATTGGCAGGTCACGGTCGACGGAGCAACCTGTCTCATTACTCTGTTTTAAAATAAAACATTGATAGGGAAACAATTTGTGTATAGTGCAAGAGAAGCGTAACTGTTCCCTCTTCTTTTAGCATATTTTCTCTACCTCATGTTAACTATTTCTTACATTTCCCTTATAACTAAATAGCCTTCACTATGAACGGTGGCATGTGTAGCTCATTCACACCAGAACCATATAGGTCAAGTATTGTGATTGCTCTTTAGAGAGCTCATTTACCTAATGTGTGGTATTTATTCTGTGGATAATCATAGTGACCATGTCCCCCCCCCCCCCCACCTCACCTGGAGTGGAACAGCTCCCAGCGCTCTCTGTAGTAATACTGCTGCAGGCTCTTGAACCAATGGGTGGGCTCGCTCAGCTGGGTGCGGTTCAGCAGGTCCTGGAAGGTGGGGGACACGTAGAAGTCCTGGTCGATGGGGAAGGGCATGCGGTAGTGCATGTTGTGGAGAAGGTGGTACGCCCCCTGGTGGACGGAGCGCATTGGGTAGTACATGGTAACCTGAAACAAAGAACAACACAAGTCAGGGCCTCGACTTCTTCCATTTGTATACCGTCTGACATCCTTACGCACCTCGTGCAGGGACTGGCTGCCGTAGACCGTGTTCCAGCTGCTGGGCTCCGTGACCAGCGCAGGAAGTAAGGAGCGACCCGTGAGGTGCACCGGGGTGGAGGGGTCCCCGGGGAGTCTGTAGGATGGGTAGGGGACCGAGAGCCAGTCCAGAATGGTGGGGGTGATGTCTGCCAAATTAAAAAGAAGAAGAGAAACAGTGAGTATTTACATTATATTCACATACATGTCACTGTCAAAATGAAAATGAACTACAAATTAGCAGGTTTTAAATGTTTTCTTGAGTAAGTGAAGGATCAAGCCTTTGATTGAGAACATTGTCCCACTTAATTAAAACTAAACTATTTAAAAAGGAATAATTAATCAACAAAAGGACTGATTAAGAATGACTCCCTCCGAATAACCTTGAACTCTTAAAGAAAGCTTTGTTATTCTCTCTCTTCAAGGTGATGCGGGGTGAGTATTCGATAAAAACAATGGTGCACTGTGTGGGTGAAGAACTCTTTTACGAACCCATGGTCAACAGTGTTGTTTTTATAACAGCTGGAGATGTATTGTTTTCATAGCCTTGGGCACTATATGACACTCAAACTCAATATTCCCCTCATTATTTCACTTTCTGCCTCAACTGCTTGATGTTCATTACGCCATACTTTAATATTTAGTTAATATGTTGTGGTATTATCAGACATTTATATTACAACCATTACTATTGTGATGTTTATTTATTTTATTTTCATTAAATCATTGCCTTCTAAGGGAATCATTTTCCGTTTCTTTTTTTATCTGGGATCTGCTGCTGATGCCTCGTTGTTGAGTCTCCCTCTTGTGGCTGATTCAGCACATCGGATCAGCACATTTACTTCTTGTTCATTTGAGAAGGCCAGTTGAGTAAACCAAGGGCTCTCTAGATCAATCTGAATGCACGATAAAGGGTCTTTGAGCATGTTTCTCTCGTAAATCGTAAATCTGAGACGATTAAAGAAAGAAAAATGCTTTTTTTTGGTATTTTTCTCCTAAAATCCCTTTACTTTTTGAGCTTGTAATCATTTTCTATTTGGTTTAACTCCTCAGTAATCGTTCTTCAATAAGGCCACACCCTGTGATGAGGCGTCATGTCAAATAAGATATTTGTTAATTTTTTGCAAGGAGGATAGCCAAAGAAAGATCCAGAAACTAGAACCAGACCTGCTATGGATACCGTGACACAACAAGTGGCTAATAGACTTATAATCTATAAACCCTCCTCCACTTCTCTCTGCCATCCACCCCTCACCCAGCAGACTGACGTAGGCCTGGCTGGTGCCCCCCCAGCGCCCCCTGTGCTCCGGAGAGGAGACCAGCATGGGCTCTGCGGTGCCCGAGCGGTACAGGTTGGTCCTGCCGTTGGGGAAGGGGATGCCGTTATCTGAGCTGTAGATGACCAGAGTGTCGTTCTCATAACCGGCGTCTCTGAGCTCCTGGAGAACTAAACCGATACCTGCGGAGGAAAAGCGCAACGTTATTTCAGTCAGACAACTCACGTGTTTCTTAATATGTTTATTAGAAGCAGCATATAGTTTAAGTTTGGCGTCTAGGCTCGGGCCTCATCACTCCACAGATTTACATAGAACATTGACTAATAATTAGATAACTATCCCCCAAGCCTACAGGTGGATGCTGGGATGGAAGCTGGGGCGGTGGTGGGGCAGGCGAGCAGCAGCACGTGAACACATCAGCAACATGAACGCAGCAGCAGCTTTTGCAAGGCAGAGGCAGACAGACCTGGCAGCTTAAATAGAGCGGCAAGTTTAGGAGATTGTGTTTGGTTTGTTGTAAGAGGGACGAGGTTCGTCACGTGTAAATGTATCATTGGTGCTCGAGTTGACTGCCTGAACTAACTCCCAGGCTTCGCCCCATATTTTGGTGTTTCACAAGAATAACGTGTGTTTTTAATGCGCTGCAGGTGTTACAGACCTTGGTCCAGCCTGCTGACCGTGGTGTACTGCGCTGCCAGGTCGGAGCGCGCCACAGGTGTGTCCGGCACAAAGGGAGGGACCTAGGTGAGAACAGATACACATGTAAGCAGCTCTGCATTCCACTCGACATTTGACTCTATATGCTTTAACTGCAATAATCAATAAGTCAAAGTCTGAGAGTTCGTGACTTTGTTTGATTAGGCAAGAAAAACAGCCTTTTTCAGAAAAGTAGAAATAAAAAAAATAATTTAGGTGTTTATTTGACCTACTTCGCATCTTCAATGTATCCTACATTTACAAAAACGTAGCATAACCTAATGCCTCATTTGCATATTTTAGGCATAAGATTCCACGAAGCCTGTAATACAAATAATATTTAAGATCCATGGTGATATATTTAAGTCAAATGTGTCCCCCTATCCTTGTGTTGTGTCTTCCTTTAATATCAGTATAACAGCAGCAGTAAAAGTGTGACTGTGAAATGGAAATACAAATGTTATCATCTTCAGTGAACACAAATAAAATGCTTTAAAATGTGCAGTTTTAAAACAGATATTCTTTCATATTTTAAAAGGTGATGTTTTACTGATCAATATAAATGTGTTTTAGCTAATAATCTGTACGGCACTGACCTTGACTTGCTCTGGCGTGTAATATTCCGGTGTCCAGTCAGGAATTCTTCCCATCCCCATTTCCCCATTCCCAAACTTCTCACAGAAAGCTCCGTACTGCGGCTGAGAGTGTCCACATCGGTGGGTGTCATGAAAGGCAACATACAGGAAAAACGGCCTCTCTTCATCTTTTAAACTGTCAGAATCATCCTCTCTCATTTGGCGTCTTTCAAAGGCTTCCTCTTTATGGGTCTGGAAAAACTTTCGCACCAGGAGCTTGATGCGGGTGATGTTCCTCCCCACCTGGAGGACAGAGTTGTTCTCCTCGGTGTAGGCAAAATCAAAGGGGTATACGGATCCAGGGCCGACATGCTTCTTTCCAATTATCCCTGTTGGAGTGAGACGGTAAAAAAGGAAGTGTAGAATAAATAGTGATAAGAGCCAAAAGTTAGTAAGAGTAGGATTTGTGTTTCTCACCTGTGTGTACGTTGGCCTGGCCGAGGAGCAGCGGCAGACTTTGTACCCCATCAAATGAGTTGAAGTGGTGAACACCCTGGTGAAGCCCGTACATGCCGTTCTGGTGCTGAAAACACACCAAACAGACATAAGTGTGTGTGTGTGTGTGTGTGTGTGTGTGTGTGTGTGTGTGTGTGTGTGTGTGTGTGTGTGTGTGTGTGTGTGTGTGTGTGTGTGTGTGTGTGTGTGTGTGTGTGTGTGTGTGTGTGTGTGTGTGTGTGTGTGTGTGTGTGTGTGTGTGTGTGTGTGTGTGTGTGTGTGTGTGTGTGTGTGTGTGTGTGTTGTTGTTACCTGTGGCAGGCCGGTGAGGATGGTGGAGCGGCTGGGGGAGCAGCTGCTGACGGAGGTGAAGGCGTTGCTGAACACCAGGCTGCGCTGGGCCAGAGAGCGCAGGTGGGGGGTGTGGACCGCAGAGTTGTTATACACCTCCGTCTCAAAACCGGCATCATCAGCTGGAAGAGGGGGGAAAAGCTAATTCCTTAGCTCTTAAGCTCCCATGGCCATACAATAGTTAAAAGTGTTAATCCCAATTTCTCAAACTCCAAGGTGAGTTCCTCAAATGTCTTGTTTGGCAGTCCAAAACCCAGAGATAATCACTTGACTTTGTTATAAAACAGAGAAAGGCAAGAAATCTGTGTATTTGATAGGCTGAAAACAGCCTTTTCTGACATTTTCTGAGTAAAAATGACTTTACTTTGATCAGGCAATTATCACAGTAGTCCATAGAGTGTTTTTGTTTTAAGGACTAGTCCTGATCCTGGCTTTGAGCTCTATGGCATGTTTAGTTTAAAGAAAGACAGGAGTGTCAACATACTTTTGAACACATAGTGCATTTCATTATTCAAAGAGGTCTGTTAATGTGTCCACCCCATCTATATCCTCAAGACTAGATAGCAGAACTAACCTGGGTAATGCAATTTGAATGATTGTAGGACTGATGTGTAGACCCCCACATAATACAGACTGTGGAATCTTGTGCAATATGGACACTATTTTTGCAATACTGTGCAATAATCACCTTTATCTGAAAAACCTTGTGATAAATGTCCCAACATTTTGTATAGTGTCTCAACACCTAATGTGTACTTATGTCACTAAGTTCTAAAGTGGCTGTTCCTCATTTTTAGCCATGGATGTGAACTTATGTCTTTGTTTTTATTCTATTATTACTAATGTGTGCATTTATTCTCTATATTTAATAAGTTAGCTTATTCTTTATTATTGTATGCCTTTTTGTACCTGCTATGACACTTTTTGCTGTAACACTGTCCATTTCCCTGCTGTGGGACTAATAAAGGAATTCTGATTGGTCTTACTTAATAAACTGGGGACTGAGTATACTGTAACTGCACATTTTATTATTGCAGCTCAAAGGCATTTAAGTATGTAAACCTGCCACGACTCATCACTCGATGTAAATGTAAAAACTCACCAATTATTAGAAGCACATTTCTCCTCTTTGACTCCCCGATGCTACATGATGCCAAGAGGAGAAGATACTGAAGAAGCATGATGATGTTTCGCTTTCCTTACTGTTTCCCATTAAAACTCGCTTTCTACATCTCAAACTGTCTGCTGGTTTGGCTAGGAAACATGTAAAGTGCGTCTAAATAATTATATTCAATAAATGAAGTCGTCACAATCATTTAAAACAAGTAGATAAAATGACTTCTAGCAGAACTATTGGCTACATCACGGATTTGTTTTCTCGTCTTCCTTAAACAACGTAAGCCCCGCCTACTAACGATCACATGACAGAGATCACGTGCAAACAGAAAACAGGAACCGGACTGTCTCGCGCTTCGTCTGCAAAATGATATACATTTTAGGAAGTGGTTTCAGCAAAAAGGAACAAAAACGCGTTGTCAGCGAAAGTCCTGAAAATCACAGCTAACCATGGACAAATAAAGAAGAGGACACCACTTTAAGTAAGAGTTTCTATTTCCTGTTGTCTTGTTTTTTCTATTGTATTTTATTTGTTGCTGCTCTATTCTATTCTATTATTATACACTGATCTATTATGTGTTTTTTTCCTGCTTTATTACTCTGTACTGTAATGTGTAGTGTTTTCTATCTTCGTTTTTTTCATCTATTCTATTTTCTTCTCTGTTTGTTTTTCTCTATTTTCTTCCCTTCTATTTTATCTTTATTTATAACTTTCCCTTTCTTCCACTAACACAGATTTTTTATTTAAATCAGTCATGTTTTTCTACTTTTTCAATGCAACCGCTTATTGTTGATCTATTATAGTATAATTGGTAACAGGTGCGATATAGGACACAATGGTAAAAAATAAAACACCACACTGTCAGATGAAGCTTACAGTAGGGTTAGGAATATTTGTAGGAATATAGCTTATGGAAAGGTTTGCTGTCATAACACAAAAAGAAACAGTGTCGAGAGCCAACCTGTCATATGACTATCATATGATTATGAAACCTCAAAGCTTGTTCAGTCAAAGCTTCAGAGAAATAAATATGTCCTCAGGTAACTTTTCAAGTTAGTCGACTGAAGACTTTGTTCGTTTTTTTTCTCCCATTGCACACAGATGCCAGCATGCCTCTGAAAATATGGCATCCACTTTCTTTGATGCTCTGTGTGTTTATCCAGAAGAACATGAAGACAAACTGACACATACATGCACACAGAGCAACATCTTTGTTGTGTTTCCATGAATTCTGTTTATGTGGTGAAAGAAAGGCGAATCAAATCCGAAGAATCTTGTTAAAAGCACATGAGTGACATTTAACCAGAGGTGGGAGAAGTACTCAGGTCTTGTACTTAAGTAAAAGTAGAAGTTACAGAGTGTAGGAATACTCGGTTACAAGTCAAATTCCTGCATTCAAAATGTTGCTCAAGTAAAAGTACACAAGTAAGCATCAACATATAGTTAAAGTACCAAAAGGAAAAGTAGTCATTCTGCAGATTTGTCCATTTCAGAATAGAATATATTATATGTTTTGATTATAATTATTGTCATTAAAGTGTTATCAAAGCTGGTAAAGGTGCAGCTAGTTTGAATGACTTTGTATACTGCAGGGTAGCTTGTGAATTTACTCCAGGTTTATCTGAAGTCTTTTTTTTTTATAGTTGTTTGTGTTTCACATTATTTATTAAGTGAGTAAAATACACCATTTATCTCTGAATTGTAGTGGAGTAGCAGTACAAAGTAGCTAAACGTGTAAATACTCAAGTAGTACAAGGAACTCAAAATGTTACTTTAGTACAGTACTTGAGTAAATGTACTTAGTTAGTTCACACCACTGCATTTAAAACAGAGACGGAAACTTCACCTTGTGTACGTTATTTTGTTCTGCACGCTTTTGAATTTGCAAACGTTTCCCTCTGTCCACTTGCTGCTGTCTGTTCACCCTTTGTGTTGTCCTCCTCCTCTCCAGGTTCCCCCTCCTCTCTTCTGACTCCTGAGTGATGGAGCGTCCTCTGCTGGGCCGAGGGTCCGCCCTGTGCTGCTCCTACAGCTCTCTGAAGGCCTGGCTGCCCCTCCTCTCCTGGGCGCCCCGGTACCGGCTGAAGTGGCTGCAGATGGACCTGCTGGCCGGCCTCACTGTGGGGCTGACCACCGTCCCTCAGGCGCTGGCCTACGCTGAAGTAGCCGGCCTTCCTGTGCAGGTGAATCCTAGCTGTGCTGTTTGTGAAGATCCATCCTTTAGATTCAACTCTCTCCAGATCTTAAGCCGGGCTGTTTTTAATCATAAAGTGGTTCAAATGGTCTTGTTCTGGTTTTCTTTAATTGGATCCATATAAACCTCCATAAATGGGTTGCTTGTTTTCTTGGTGATTTGAGCAATCCCTCTTCTGGACTGCAAAGAGTGGAAATCATGGTGTATTTTATTTATCAATATCAATGTTTAAAATCATTTATTTATTTAGTTATCATCAAGCCTAAACAATAAGTTGAATGAGAGAATACTAACCAGCATTTATATGGGAGTCAATCCATTGTGACCTTTGGAAAGCAAACATGTATTGTGTTAGTTAAACACATAAAAAGACATTTGAAGATGTCAACATGGGATCTTGGAAATAACATGTTTTTTTCTGACATTTTATCGATGAAATAATTTATGAATTTATTGAGAAATAACTAGATTATAGGTACATTCAAGACGTGTTTAAAGACAACTACAAATATGTATTCTCTATTATTGGAACATTACTGAATCTATGCAAATACTGTTCACTTCAAAAGTTTAAATGTTTCCATTTTTGGTCAATGGGATTTTTAAACCATTATTAAACCAGGAAAGTCTCACTGAGATTAAAAATGTCTTTTGCAACAGAGTCCTGGCCAAGATAGGCAGCTGTACACTTACCCAACACAAATTTAAAAAACAATAACATAGAACATTCTCATAAAAAGCATCTAGAGACAGAGCTGTCTGCTTCTCGGGCTGCTTTTTAAGTTTCCACATCCCATAAATCGCATAATTAACCATGATTGGCTGCTAAAGTATTTGTGGTCAGAAAATCCTGCCTGTACGTTCACATCTTAAACTCAGATTCGGGGTGAGCATAGAGAGACTTTACCCCTCAGCAGCCGAATGTGGAAAAGAAGGGTTACAGTGTCAAACTCTGGTGAAGCAACAAGAGTAGAAACCAAATCTAAAAGCATTTCTCCCCACAGTACGGACTCTACTCTGCCTTCATGGGGGGGTTCGTGTACACCCTCCTGGGGACCTCTAAGGACGTGACACTGGGTCCCACAGCCATCATGTCCCTCCTGTGTTTCTCTGTGGTGGGGGGGCAGCCTCACCGCGCCGTGTTGCTCAGCCTCCTCTGTGGACTCATCCAGGCTGGAATGGCTTTACTGAGATTAGGTGATTAGTGATGGTCATGAGAAAACCTTATGACACCAGTTTTTGGAAAAGTTTATTTATCAAGTTAACACTCGAGAGACTTCTTTTACCAAAATAAAATGGGAGTTTTTATCCACAATGAGACACATTGTTTTCACCTGATAGCAGTGCTAATTTAGCATTACATCTTTCAGTCTGTAAAATGTAGGGCGAGCTCTGTATCAACATCTGATATTAGATCAATACAATATAAGAAGAGAGAAAGAGACTGCAGAGACTGTGAGGAAACAGGCGATATGTTTGTGAGTGCAGCGAAGCCACTTCCTACCACCACATCTATGACTTCCTCTGCCTAACCACACACATTTTCTCGGAAATCTGTAGATAAATCATACTTTATTTTATATATTTCTGGTTCTAAGTCAGTGTCATGGCTCTCTAATCCTTTCTATGCTTGTCTTATTAAGGTTTCCTGCTGGACTTCATCTCCTACCCTGTAATAAAAGGCTTCACTTGTGCTGCTGCGGTAACCATTGGCTTTGGCCAAGTCAAGGTGAGAGTTGAATACATCCAGACCCACAAACTAACAGGAAGAACTACACATCCATCACCAAATCAACCATTTACCAGCTACTCTACTTGTTAACAGGCCTGTCTCAATATCCTTTTAACGCTGTCTCGCTAAGGATACATATAACTACTGCTTTTACATTTTTAAAGAGGCCCTATTTTGCTTTGTGGGGTTTTCCCTTTCCCATAGTGTGTTATATAGGTTTGAGCGCATGTAAATGGTCTGCAAAGGCTAAAATCTCAAAGTTCCCAGAGGGAGTTTCTCCTTTAAAAGAGGAGAAACATTAGTCTTTTAAAAGTCTTTAAAATACTAATTTTAAAAGGTCTCACTAAAAGATCTATTAGAAAGCTGCAGCTGATTCAGAACGCCGCTGCTCGAGTCCTTACTAACACTAAGAAAGTGGATCACATCACTCCTGTTCTGAAGTCTTTACACTGGCTTCCTGTGTGTCAAATAATTGATTTCAAAATATTGCTGCTGGTTTATAAAGCTTTGAATGGTTTAGGCCCAAAATACATTTCTGACCTACTGCTAAATTATGAACCATCCAGAACTCTCAGGTCTTCTCGGACTGGTCTGCTTTCTGTCCCCAGAGTCAGAACTAAACGAGAAGCAGCGTTCAGTTATTATGCCATAATGGGGCCCCTTTCAACCAATCAATGTTTATTTATATAGCCCAATATCACAAATGTTACATTTGTCTCAGTGGACTTCACAGTTTGTTCAGAATATCAGTATGACAATACGACACCCTCTGTCCTTGGACCCTCACATCGTACAAGGAAAAACTTCCAGAGAAACCCCACAGTTTAAAGGGGAACATGGGAGAAACCTCAGGGAGAGCAACAGAGGAGGGATCCCTCTCACAGGACGGACAGACGTGCAATAGATGCCGTGTGTAAATTGAAGAGATAATACATTTTACAGTATAGGTAGTCCAAATGTTTGGAAATGCATGTGTCTATAATAAGAAGATGAATCCACGAGGATGTCCATAATCCTGTGGGAGCCTCAGGGAAGTAGTATGATGAGAGTCAGGCAGGACCACAGTGACAGGTTCAGCCACGACTCAGGATCCAGGACTCAAATCCAGAACTCAGGATGCCGGATCCAGGACACAGGACCGCAGCAACAGGATCAGCCACGACTCAGGATCCCGGCGTAGATATAGACACCAAAAAGACATTTGGGGAAGCTGGGTTATTCGGAACATGAGAGTACACAGGTACAGACAGACAGACAGAAGGAAGAAGTAAGGTGTCCCCCGACAGTCTAAGCCTAGCAGCTAAACTAACGTGTCTACGTACATGGAGGTTGAGGGAAAGGGGTAGCAAGTAAGAAGTAAGGAACAGAGGTGGAGAGGCACAACGTGTCTACGTACATGCACTCCCTTAGGATAGGGTGAGGGAAAAGAGTGGGAATTAAGATGTATGCGCCACATCTATACCATGAGCGCATTGCTCCTAAAAAGTGTTTCTGGCACTGACACCAATCAACAGTTGTGCGTCGACTCGGCAGGGATCAAGGCACCTATATGCCTCTCCCTGCTTCCACCGTCTACACACACAACCAAATTACATACCATCAGTAAGGAAAAAGAGTAAGAACTCAAATGTATAGGTGACGAGGCACAACGTGTCTACGTCAATGCACTCTTATTAGATTATTTTATCAACTATAAGCTTTATCAAAAAGGAAGGTCTTAAGCGTACTCTTAAAAACGGATAGGCTGTCTGCCGCCCGAACACAAACTGGAAGCTGATTCCACAAAAGTGGAGCTTGATAAGAAAAGGCTCTGGCTCCCATTGTACTTTCAGAGACTCTAGGAACATCCAACAACCGTGCATTCTTTAAAGAGATACGATTTACCCTCAGTGTAAACTCATTTTATTATAAATCTAATTCTAAAAACCAAGGAGAGAAAACGGCTTTTCTCATTGTTAATGCTTTCGGTTGATAGCAGTCCCATTGTTTCTGTTTTCCAGAATATTCTAGGACTCGAGGGCATTCCCCACGACTTTGTCTTGGAGGTCTACTACACCTTCTACAAGATCCCAGAAGCCAGGATAGGTGACGTGGTGCTAGGTCTGCTGAGCCTCTCTGTGCTGGTCATGTTGGTGTTCATGAAGAAGGGTCTGGGCTCTGACGACGTTCCCAGCTGCTCCACAATGATCGCCCGGAGACTAGTGTGGACTGCTGCAACCAGTCAGTACTGTGTGGTTGTGACTTTGTGTGTCTGTGTGTGAGTGTGTCCATCCTTTTCAAGATAGCAACACATTTAAGGTAATGTCTTTAAATGGCATGCTTTGTCAGCCAAAACCCAAATGAATTCACTTTATTTTGATTTAAAAATAAAATCTTCATATTTGAGAGGCTAAAAACAGCCTTTTCTGACATCACTTTAATAAATAAAGTAATTGCTGCTGGTGTAATCTCAATGTGTTATAATTGCTATAAATGAACAGCTTTGCAGGGTGCACATATCTTATCTTTATCATTCTATATTGTGCCTGCTTTATGTATTACTATAAAGTTGTACTCTATTTATTCGTGTCTTCTCTGTCCTGGTCAGTGCGTAACGTTTTGGTGGTGGTAGCAGCATCCTGCGTAGCCTATTCCTGGAACGCTTTCGGCCATCCCGTGTTTACGGTCACAGGGGAAACTTCTAAGGGTCTCCCACCGTTCAAGCCCCCGCCCACCTCAGACACCACAGCCAACGGCACCGTCGTCACCTTTGGAGAGATTGTAGAGGTAAGGAGCAGAGAGAGGAGGCCCGATTCAGGGTGAGGGCAGGGAATGATTTTACTAAACGATTGAACTTCACAAGAAGATCAGCTGACTAGCCAGTCCTCTGTGTGTGTTGTGTGCAGGACTTCGGTGGAGGACTGGCAGTGATCCCCTTCATGGGTCTATTGGAGAGCATTGCTATTGCTAAAGCATTTGGTACGTTTTGTAAGCCATGCTAGCTGCGTAACGATGGCAATGTTGCCGTCAGTTGGTCAGTCCATCATTTTGATCCAGATAAAAATATATCAACAATCGGATGGATTCCAATTAGATTGTTAAGAAATGTATAATCCTCAGAGGATGATCCTAATGACTTTTTGATTTCTTCCGGCACCTCAATTAAGTTAATATTTGTGGTTTGATTTAAAAGTTTTGGATGGATTGCCATGAAATGTGTTATGGGAAATAATTGTAATAACCAAAACCAAGATATTTGCAGAACTAATAACATCCTATTGAACCTAGCTGTGCTATGTTCTAATTACCAACCAACTTGGTAAACATCATCATCATCAAGTGTAGCATTGTCATCAGGATCATGGTGATTTTTACCTGAAGCTCTGCAGCTTGACACTTCTCAAAGAATGAGTGTCTCTTCTTCAGATCGTTGACAGATTTGAACTTCCTGTTTCTCCTCAGCCAGTCAGAACGACTACAGAATTGATGCCAACCAGGAGCTGCTGGCTATTGGTGTGACCAACATCATGGGCTCCTTTGTGTCCGCGTACCCCGTCACGGGAAGCTTCGGGAGGTGTGTGTGTCTAGTTTGTCAGTGTGTGTGTCTGGGTTGTGTGTACGAGAGCTCAGGTGTCTAATATTAACAGCTTTATGTTTTCTACTCACATCCAGAACAGCAGTGAACTCTCAGACTGGTGTTTGCACTCCAGCTGGAGGGATCGTCACCAGTGAGTCTGATACCTTTAATCTTCTCTGTATCTCTTCCGCCCTCTAGTGGTGGTCTGTGTTATCATCTATTATCCACACTTCCCTTGTTTCCTTTTATTCCCTTACCCTCTCTCTTTTCTCTATAGTGATGTCTAAGGGTCGACATGGAGGTCAATGCTATTCAACATTTTCTTTAATCCACAATTAAAAATACAAACACAATCATAAGACAGAATGAAGATATGTGAAATGGGTAAACCCAATAAGCTATTTGAAGCTTTACATAGCCCCAGACACTAAAAAGCTTAATAAAAAAGATATCTTACCAACACGTCTAGAATGTGAGGGAGTTTGTGTATTATTAAGAAACATTTACAAGCTAATAAAGCAACAAACATTAACAGATAAACCTTTAAAACAAATATTTGTCTAAAATAGGTAAGAAATAATAAACAGATATACAACAAAGGGTTCAAATGGTTCAAATAAATGCATTTTAGAGTAGAATAACTTATTGAATACCCATTCAGTGAATTTGTATTTATTCTCTGACATATTTAAGTGACAACTGCTTTCTTTAAGCACTTTTTAAAGTTCAGGCTTGTTGGTAGACAACATTCATTGCAGAGGCCACCCAGCATGTGGATGTATCTATTACTTTTCTATTTAAGAGATATGTCACAAACATAGGTAAATAATAATAATTTAGCATCCAACATACTCCACCTCAACAAACTTAATAATAACGGGCCATATAAAGTTAAATCACGAAAGACACATCACCCTGACTTTGTGATCAACGTTTGTTAATAAACAATTAATTTAAAAGTTAAAGGGGACCTATCATGCAAAATGCACTTTTGTACGTCTTTTATACATGAATATGTGTCCCCGGTGTTCCAGGGAACTCACCAAGTGTCAGAAAACACAACCCTCTCTATTTTCCTCCATACCCAAATCTCTAAAAAAGGGGCTGCAACGGATCTGATAAAAACTGATCCAGATTTGAACACTGTCCTGACGTCAGGACGGTGGCGCTACGGCTATTGGGCCAACTCCACCAATCAGGAGGAGACAGCCACGGCCATTGCCATTCGAAAGCGCTGGAGACGCTGTAGTACATATGCCAGGCCTGTAAGTGGCGCTGTAGTCTGCCACAAAAGCAGCGAAGAAGACTTCCCGCCCATAGTTACCATGGTTACCCTTCTGTTTATTCTCCACTGTGGCTTTCTTTCTCCCTCCCCGAGGCAAGCGTTTGCTCCCGCTGCTTTAATTCAATGCAATCCCTCCCCGTCGAGGCAAGCACTGTAATTCTCTCCGGTTAGTCCACCAGCAGATGACAAACACCCACCTCTCCGCCTCTTCCAAGGAACGAGGGGACCGTGCGGCAGAGTTTCAGTTTCTTTCGCCGGTCAAGATGTCCGTTAAAGTTTCAATCTTCCGGACAAAATTAGAAAAGTGCCGGTCAAAGGTCTTCTTTGTTATTTATTGAGCTTTAAAACAAATGAATAACGACTCTATATAATAAAACACGGAGGACGGAGATCTCTTTTTCTCCCCCTCTTCTGACAGCCCAGCAGCTGATCAGAGCACGTCTCCCCTCTCCTGCAGGGGGGCGTGGTCAGCTGCAGCTCACAGAGATCAGCCCCGTAGACAGCAAACAGCACATAGAGCGAAATGAGGCATGGCTAAAATGCATGATCTGTTTGGTATTTTGAAAACAGAAACGTATAAATATACCTGATAGATAGATAGATAGATCGTACTTTATTGATCCCAAATTGGGAAATTGTTTTTGTTACAGCAGCATAAAAGGCATTTTACAATAAAACAAAATATACAAGAATAGAAATAAAATATAAAATATAAAATATACATGTCAAAATACAAAATAGAAAATATACATACAGATATTATATATATATATATATATATATATATATATATATATTCAAAATATATGGAATTATGGAGTATTAAATATGAAACAGATTATGTGTGAGTAAAATGTAAAACGTGGTTTTATTTCTTTATATATAGGTATGGCCCTACAATATATCATTTAAATATAGCATGATGGGTCCACTTTAATAAAGAAATGATATTACAGAGTATGCTGTTGAGACATCACATTTGTATATTTTAGCTATGTTTCATGTATTCATGTGACTTTCCATTATGTCTCTCTTTTTTGTATTTTGGCGTATTTGTTAAGATTTCATTTCTGCTCAGTCTGTGAAGTTCGATCAGTATGGAAATAAAGATGTCTCCTTCTCCTTCTGTGTGTGACTTCAGGTGTGATAGTGTTGCTCTCCCTGGCGTTCCTCATGCCCGCCTTCTACTACATCCCCAAAGCTGCTCTCGCTGCTGTTATCATCTGTGCGGTCGCTCCCATGGTGGATTATCAAGTCGTGGCTAAGATGTGGAGGATACGCAGTAGGTGTCTTCTCTGTTTTATTACTTAAGTATGTCTCAGACATGTTTGTCTTTGAGTTGTGTTCTCATGCTCGTGTGTTTCCCTCAGAGCTGGACCTGGTGCCTTTCGTTGTGACGTTCCTGATGTGTTTCTGGGAGGTGCAGTACGGCATCGTGGGAGGTGTAGCTGTATCAGGAGTCCTGCTGCTGTACCACACGGCCAGACCACAGATAAAGGTACAATGTTGTGTCAATTGAGTGTGTGTGAATGATTGTGCTACTTAAAGCCCTTCAAGCAACAGTGGCCTGGTTTCCTGTAAAGGTACTATAGTCCTCCGCTTGAGTAAGAGGAGTTGCTATCACCAAAACTTGTTTTCTGTTTTTTTTCATTATAGCTAAAACCACACCACAGTTTCTGAATGAAACTCATATTATGATATATATTGTATCAGAACATACATTATATTTTGATAATGTTTTCTTGATATCCCCCATCTTTAGTTGATGGTGACATGGAGATATTTGCAAATGCCATTAAACAGTGAATCTTTATTGTCTATGCTCAAGATCAAAGATCAGATGTAGGTGCCTTGAGCAAGATTGCATTTTTTCTCACCAAATAACACAACAAAATCCTGGTATCTCAAAAGTAACCGATCACTTTTGTCTCCCGTATTGTGCAGGTGTCTGATCCCGGCATGCTGGTGATGGAGTTGGGCAGTGGGCTCAGCTTTCCTGCCACAGAGTATCTCAGCCACCTCATACACACTCAGGCTCTGCAGGGTAAGGGTTGTTTCGTCTGTCTTTGATTAGATCAAAAACATTTGTGAAGTTCTTTGATTGGCCATCTCTTTTATTTAAGTTTTTCCTTTCCTTTACTCTCCTGTTATTTCCCCCCTATCGTCTCACCCCCCAGCGTCTCCCCCGCGGTCAGTGGTCCTGGATTGCCATCATGTCAGCGTTATAGACTACACAGTGGTCAGCGAGCTCAGGGACCTGCTGCGGCAGTTCAGACTACGAGAAGTTCAGCTGGTCTTTTCCAGATTGCAGGTACGACCTTCAGCTCTCACTGCTCCACAGATAAGTGTCTGTTATAGGAGCACTTTACCACCAAAATTACAGATTTGTATGAAATACATTGTGTAAATATGAATTCTGGTAATATGTTGTTTCTCTTACATGCCTATATGGTAAACTAAGAATGGGAAAACTGGGAAAAGTTTAGATTTTTTAAGATAAATGGGGTTGTGTTGAACAACAGCCGATATTGTTGATGCTAAAATGTGTTTTTATAGTAATGTTTACTGTTGTAGTAGCTCTGCAGTAGTAGTAGCTCTGCAGTTGTAGTAGCTCTGCAGTTGTCAAACGCGATCCCCATTGACTTCAATTCCTCAAGATTTTTCTATTTTATTTTTATTTTCCGTTCACCTTGGAGGAAAGCAAGAAAAACATTTTCCTTAAGAATTCAAATGAAAGAAGAAGGGAGGGGGGAGGTGTGTGTGAGAGACCATTTACATGCACACAAACCTATATAACACACTACTGGAAAGGGAACCCCCCAAAGAGCATAATAGGGCCCCTTTAAGGTCTTCTTTCAACAAGAATGTATATTAGGGTTTTGGAACTAAATGCCTTATTGTTATACGCCAGAAGTACGTTTTCAAAACAATATTTTTTATATATCTATGTCTCTGTCTTCCTCTGCTCTTTAGCCCTCTGTCCTGGAGGTCCTCCTGGCAGCTGACCTGCAGGACTTCAGGCACACAGACAGTGTGGAGGCGGCGCTGCTGATGGAGACAGAGAGCCTCCACGATGAATGGAGAGGACGGAAGAAACGTAGCGACACTGATCAGTGACGTTTCTGATGTGGGATTAACAGGTTTTTATGAAGTTTGAAAGGTGATGACCTACCTCCAACAACTGATAACCTGGCTGCTGGTTGTACCGCCTGACTTTGGAAATCAATATGGGATTTGGAGATTACAGCACTACAACATTGCACATCAACATTGGACCAAAATTGTGTTTTTATAGTATTTTATATGAGGGACCATTTTAGAGTAAGGGGGGTAATGAGAGAAGTATTATTACTTAAGTATATATTTACTAACGGCGATCTCCCTCCGTTATGTTTTAGAATTAAAAGGTGGTAGGGGGGCTTCCAGAGACCAAAATCGGAATTTACACTAAGAATAGGGAAGATTGGTGTGTGAATAATGAGCAGCAGAGAGCAAAGCTAACACTTAATCTATCTGTCATTATGTGTATTTTATTTATCATATTTCTAAATGTAAGTTGGTTGGTTTCTGTTATTATTATGTCGGGAATTAAATATTGCCAAGTCAGTTTCAAAATGGTTTTAATTGACTCATCACAATGACACTGATTGAATTACATTTCAACCTAAATTATCAAATCTATACAAGGAATTTTACATAATAAAACGTTTACATTTCCAGATGTGTGCATGTGGGTTTGTGTAGTGAAGTCAGCTGATTGGTCCCAGTATCATTTCCCCAAACTGTTATCAACGTGGAGGTGATATACTGATTTTCTTGCAAGCAGTTGTTTCCACATGAATCCAGTAGTTTTGACAAAATACATTTACTCTGATAACTTCCGACCTAATGTGAAATCCATACCGAGACCTTTACAAAACTTTCAAAATCTATCAATCTGTGGCCTCAACAGCTCATTTCTTGCACTTTTTTCAAGTTTAAAAGCAACCTTACACAACTTACTGAAGTAAAGCTGCATTCATAATATATTGCTAATAAATCTATATAAAATGTAATCTATGAATATTTTTGAAAAAAGCACAAAATCTTTGTTTTAGCGTTGTGAAATACTGAAACATTATCATTTCATAGATGGTGAATACTTTCCATAGGGTAAGTGACTGCAAATATCACAAAGTGAACCATTGAAGGCATAAATCACCGGATTTTCTATACAAGCATTCACTGTACCTGCATTAACATAAACACTGTAAAACACTTCAACACCAAATGTGCAAAAAGGAACATTATGTAAGTACTTTTACCACTCTTATTGTATGTTGATAGTAAAGTCCAGAAGTTCAGCCCCTCACATGAACAACAAGATGAAGGGTTGTCTTCATCCATCACCCTCGCCCGGCTTATCGGCTGTTTCCAGTTTTAGCAATTATTAACCAGGCTGCTGCTTCACTGGGAAATGTTCCTGATCAGTGTCGAGTTGAAATATGAATACGTGGATTCTTCTCAAGATCAGGACTTCTCTTAATTTGGATGTCAATCTTGAAAAACTGTGTTCATTCAAATGACAGAACTTTTCAATCTAAACGATGAATTTGCAGTTTTCAATTTGAACAAAACACAAGCAAAATAGAAGAGCTGCGGTGAGGTTAACCATTACTTACAGTACTTATACATGAAACATTTTAACCAGATTGCTACTCAGTTCTCTACCTAAATCGACCAATACATTACCTAGCAACATAAAACTAAGTATCTATTTTGTGTGCCTCTGTTGTGACATGTTTACATGCCTTAATGTTCAAAAAGGTCTTTATGTTTTAGAGAAACTCCCTTTGGGATTTTAGCCTTTGCACATGCACAAAAACCTATATTATAACACACTACAGGAAAGCGAAACCCCAAAAAGCATAATAGGGCCTCTTTAAAAGTGTGGATTTTGCATGACTCTTTGTGGAGTTTCTCAAATTAAATAAATTAGTCGATTTATCGACAAATCATGAGTGTTGGGCAACCAATAATGACTTCTTTCTTTGATTTATCTCATGTGATATTATGTATACTATTTGTATCTATTGTGTCATGAGGTGGATATTTTTTATTATATTTTTGTTTGTTTTGCAATGTCAGGAAGATCTGTTAACACTTAGATCACATGTGTCAAACTCAAGGCCCGGGGGCCAAATCAGGCCCTTGGTGGATTTAATTTCGGCCCGCAGGATCATTTCTAATCACCATTAGATCTGGCCCGCCGGTATATTGCACGCACACCTTCACTCAATCCTGAGGATTTCCTCCGCTCAGAGCCTGACCCCAAACATTGATGAACTTGCACCCAAGATGAGATGCCAAGTATCTGGCTTGAACTAGCATCACAGAGCAGCACACTGACTTTCAATGGATGTTTCCTTCTGCACTTTTTCTCTCACGACAACAGGGCATGTTTGGTTTTTCTTTGAGGGAAATAGTTTTTTTGAAGCTGTTGTTGGCCTGTGGAGAAATGTAATCATAAGAAATGACTCCGGAGAAGCTGCAGATAGAGCCATAAGAAATGAATGCAACTGATTATTTAATGTTTAATGTTGTTTTTATAGGCAATCATTTAAGCTTTGTTAGTTCCAGGTTTAATATGTGCAATAAGTTCATTTCAATAAGTTTTGCAATAAACATTGAACCAGTCCGGCCCTCGACTAGTACCCATTTTTTTATTTTGGCCCACTGTATATTTGAGTTTGACACCCCTGACTTAGATGATCCCATGACTTTTTCTCTGGAACCATCATTGATCAAAATGCCAATTTAGTCCATTTCTTTTTATTCCTCACCAAAATGGTGTAACATTGTTATGTGTTCAGATGGTAAATCAAGTCTGAATCACAAAATCAAATCCACAAAATCCTCATCAAAAAAATGTGCTGAGCTTTTTAGTCAGAAGTTACATACTTATATCAAATGACGTTGGAGCTAAGCTAGTAAAGGAATGTTAGAATACAATTTTCCTTTGTCATTCATGGAGCTCAGAAGGTTTTTTAATTAAAAAGTGAAACATAACTTTTTATGAAAAAAGAAAATGCAGTCACATGTTCCGTTCTTCACTGTTGCTTTGAAGTGTTGGACTTCTTATCAGTGAAGCTGTACTAATGTACTCAATCCATCCTGAGAAGTACACAAACCGTATGAGCTTTATAGCAGTTTTATGACTGTGTTATTGAAAGTTGTATTTGAGTAAGGCTTGACTCGTCAAAGAAGTGTTTAGATTGCTTTGTAGCATACGTTTAGTAAGATGTTCAGCACAATGCAGCTAAATGGTACTTTACGTGTTGTACAATATTATCAGTGCTCTTGTTGAACAAAGCTCTTCAACTATTTATCTAAAAAGGAAGTACGTTTAGAAATATGATGAACACCATGTACAGGACGAGCCACACTGATTTCATTTAATAGGAAGTGACACAGGAATATGATAAAAAGACACAGTAAATCACTATTGTGCTGTTTCCTTCATGCTCGTTCCTGCTGTGCAAGATCTCTCATTTGAAGGAATCTTGCTTGATTAAAAAAAAAACTTTTCAAAGCTAGATAATACATAATGCAGAAACATTAGATGGGGTCCAACATCGGACTAACGGTTGCTTATTAGACGATCTGTCATGGATGGATTGGTGAAGTCCTTCACCTACATGTCACTCAAAGAGACCTGTACTAACCAGGAAGAGACTCAAATGACCACAAAGAGATACAAGAGGCCGACAAGAAGATTAAAAAAAGGCCAAAACAACTACAAAGAATTTCAAAATAGCTGCAAAGACACACAAAGAGACTCTAAATGATTTCAGCAAAACAACCACAAAGAGAAGCTTAACAACTATCTTAACAACATTTCTGCACACATGTCTGCACAGCCCTCCACTTTAAAATATAGTTCACTGTAGGTTGCCATATTTTGTTGTTTATTCATTACATGTCACTTGTTGACTTACATACTCAATACTGTGGAAATCCCCCACAGGAGCAATTTGGGGTGAAGTGTCTCAGGGACACAACGACATGCTGACTGCAGTGGGGTTTGAACCTGTGACCCCCTGATCCAAACACCAACGCACTAGTCCACTGCGCCACACGCCTCCCTATTCATTGTCTTACAGTTTTTTGTATTTCAATTTTTTTAGCTTTTAAGGTTCTTAGTACATTTTAATTTCAATTTGGTGTAAATACATTTCTTTATTATTTTTTAAAGCTAAATCGTTTCCTAAAAATACTTCTTTGTATTATCTTTATATTTTTGACCTACTATTGCAACCTTTTTTCTTAAATAGTTTATGTTTGCATCACCAGACACCAAAGCAAATTCCTTGTATGTGTAAACTGGCAATAAACTTGTTTCTGATTCAGTGTATGTGTCTTGTTCCTACAGTTTGTTGGAGAGCTGGTGGGGCCTTTTGCACGTCGGTGCCCAGGGGCCCATCATCTCATAATCTGCCTATGTGAGCAGAGCCAGTTTCATTCATGCCTGATGACAAGTGCTGAGATTCAAATGACATGTACAACTGTCTCAGTTCTTCTTCTTTGGACAAAATAATCGTATTCATGGTCCATTTACCATCTCTAGAAATGGATGCCAGTGTCATCTTTTTAGATCAAAATGAGTAAAAGCGTTCACGAAAAATGTGAGTTAAAAGCTGCACAGGAAAAAACGTGATGTTCTTTTTCCTATGTAGTCCCTGCTGTTGACAAAAGGTGGTTATAGATTGGCCACTCAGGTCTGTAATGTACAAACTTATGAAGACCTGTCTTTATGTTTGAACACCGTCCTGAGATTGATTATGGTACCATAAAATCTATTGACTCAGGACTTTATTGGTGTGTCAGTTCTGTTTGAATTGTATCTTAATTTTGTGTTATTTTGAGCAATAAGTAACTATTTTGCTGTCACTTGAATAAAGGACCCATTTATGTAATTCAACAGTGATTGCTTCATCTGGTTCTTTGAATGCTCCAGGAGCCCTATAAATGCTCACACTTTGAGAATTCACCTACAACTTCTTCACCAACTCCTGAATTCCCACACAGTCTCTCTAAGGTGAGTATTAACGCTGACAGATTGGTACTTTTTAATGCATATCAGCATCATTTAAAATGTGGTTGTAATGTATTAACAAAGTTCTCTCTTTTTTGTCTTTTTCAGCAGGTTTGCGTCGTGGTTTTGATCCATAATGGGGTTGCCAGCGGGTTTGATTTTGGCCCTAATTCTGCAGATTCTTTCAGGAAGCACTTCAGGTAAACCATCTGATATCTTTTTATCTCTGTAAGGACATTTTGACTCATGTTTTCTGTGTGATTGTACTCTAACTAAAATATAAAAACAAATTGTGGTTATATTATTAACAACAGATATCTACATTAAATATAAAAAATGGCAATCACACACTTCTGATGTAATTCTAAAGGTATCACTAAAAGATTAGACTTTTTGTGTTATCATAGAATACCTCGACACCGATTACTCTTAATCTGCGAAAGTAAGGAAATGCATTGCAATTGCATGTAATAGCTTCATCATGCATTCATCAAACCATCCTTTTCATAGGGACAATTGCCTCCAGCTGTGACTCTTGTGATGATGAAGCCAACTGCCTGAAGACACGAGAAAGAGGCGACTCCTTCACCAGCCAGGCGTACTCTTGTGTGTGTCAAGATGGCTTTGTAGGCGATGGGCTCA